AAATCAAACGAAGGCCAAGAGGCTGCAGCAGAACTGATTGCCGGAGGTGAAGAAGACTACGAGCAGCGCGCAGTTCAGCTCGCCACCGGCCTCAGCTACACCATGTCAGCGGACGGTTATGGCCAGGGCGAGGGTCGCTTGGCCGATATACGCAAGTTGTTGTGGGAAAGCAAATGGCATTGCGGGCTCTTCGACACGAAGCGTTGGGTGAATGACGTTGAAACAGCCTATGAGCAAGCGTGGCAACGATGGGTCGCTGGAGAAGGCGGCGACATTTATTTATGAATGTAGCCATGAGTGAGGCAGTTCACAGTGATGACGGATACGAGACGGAAAGATATATATACATACTCGAGGATCCGACAGAGTCAAGGGTATTGAATGTGTAGATGAGGCATATGGGTAAGCCGGAACATACTATTAAGGTATATCTCGGGACGGCGTTGGGATGATGTTTTCCTTGCTATTTTGATGTCGCAGATGGGTAGTTCTCTCTCATTCGCAGCAAATGGGGTTCGAGTTCCGGACATATCTTCTGGAAGTACCAGTTCATCGATTCGATGCATTATCTCCTAACAGACAGGTCGACACTTACACTAATCCACTATATATTGTAGAATCGCAAGAAACATGAGGGAGAACGGCACATGTTATTGTGTCATTATTATTCACCGCGCTACAAGAAAGGGAAAACTGCGATCACATTTACTGCGTTCTATCAATAAGCAGCTAGATGGGATCATCCATCCAGGGTAAGCACATAGTTTGCGTGATGTAGGGTGGGTGGGTGATGAAGTGAACTGGTTGGCATCCATCATAATAAGGGATGGCCCTTGAAAGGTTGAAAAGACTCCGGATGCGGCTGGTTCTGGAGCAGATCATCCACAAGAGGAAAATGATGTGACCATAACCCCAGCTGAGATCAGGGTAAGCAGCAGGGAATTGGACAAGGAGACAGGGGAAAGGGTTGGTATCATTGGATGAAGCAGACGTCAACTGAGAACCCAGCTGAGCCGAGCTGAAAAGCCGTTGTCCGTTTCGCTTGGCGTGATCCAAGAAGGGTTTGGACTCTGAAGGGAGGCCTGACGCCACAACGTTTTTCGTTTTTAGTGGCCGGTGCCGAATGGAGTTGAATTAGGGGCTCCATCAACGTCCGGGCGGGGGATGCGATAGGACATGGCATCCATGGGCCTAGACTGACCTATTGCCAATATCCTCATCTGCCCATCGGAGCCTCCCTCATTCGGTCAAGAGGTAGGTCATTCATGGAATATTTAAAGAAATAGGTAGTATTTACCAAAGGGCAAAGACGACAAGGTTGGGGAAGGTCCTGTTGGTCTGCCAGCCTCGGTGAAGTTTTGTTTTGCATACAGATAAGATAGATAGATGCCATAGGAGGCTGCAGAGCAGAGTGCAACAGCACATTGTGGATTCAACAATGACAGCCGTGATGTGACCATACCTTGATTGATTGACATGAAGATCCTTTCACGTAGGTACAGTAGTAGAGCCCAAGCTGGCGGGACCCCAGTGGGAGTCAGATTGTCGTCACTAAACGTAGTCCGGGAGCCCTCAGTCGGTCAGGATATGACTCGAGGATCTCATGTGTCTCCAATGCTTATAGTATGACCATGCCATGCCATGCCATGCCATGCCTGGCTGTGCTGTGCTGTGCTGTGCTGTGCTGTCTGTGAGTGATCCAACGCGTGGTCTGATCTGATCTCGGCAGGCGCCTTGGCCCTGGACAATCTTTCATTTAGACGAGCCCGCCCGCCCGTTTTTGTTTCGTTTCGTTTCGTTTCCAATGAGAGAATGGTTGGTGCAAACTGCAGCGTTGCTATGACCCCATCGTCGTTTACTCAACCCCTGCTCGTTCAGACCTGGGCGGGTTAGCATTCTCCGCACCTGATTAAACGTGGACGAACGGGCTGTAACGTACATTAGTTAGGGAGAAGTTAATTAGAAGAACTATCCGTAGAGTAACTAGAGTAGGTCAGAAGAACAAGATGATGACCATGACGGGCCGGGGTCTAGATATTATTCGGATGTCCAGGAAAGTGCCCATCCATCGATCACTCTGCATTTGGATGCAGCAATCTTATTTTTCCCACCCATTGCAACGGTAGTCGGCCATCGAGTCAGGGCTTGGGAGGTCACCACCGCTTTCTTGTGTGGTCTCGTCTGGTCTCGGTTGGGATTGACGAAATCAGGGATAGAAATCTCTCACTGATCCGCCCTTTACTGAGCTTGGGTAATGCTTGGGTAATGTCCCGTTCAAGAGAAAAAGAGAAAGCGTATTGCGTGAAAGTCTACGCGCACATTTACATTTTCAAAAGTACCTTTAGTTAACCAGTCGAGAAGGTTGTTACTGAGGTTATCGTGTCTCTCACTCAGAATGTTAATCTTTTTGGGCCGAATAGGTTCGGAGGTGCACTGTCAAGAATCAAAAGGCCCGAGGGACAATCAAAAAGATTACCTTACCTACCTACAAAGAAGCCCGAGCAGAAGATCGGCCAGCAGGCAAGGTAGTGCACTGTGTAGTGCAGTCTACCCTTGACCCCTGCTGACTACACATGGCATTGGATCCGTCTGTTAATCCGAAGATCCCAACCTACCTAACCATGGAAGTGGCTCAAAGGGTTGTAGCGCAGCAGTAGCTAGACCTGCACTGTAGCATTGGGTTTGGCATTGACAGTAGCCACCCGTTGACGATGATCGCCCTGCTTCATACCCTGGTCCTGGCCCAAGACTCCGCTGGCTGTCAATGCACAGGATGAACAGGCCCACAGCGCACACGCTGGTAGCGATGGTGACGGTGAAGTCTGTAACCCTGGCTTTGAAACGACTCAGTGGTGGAATCAATAATCAATCAATCCAATCCATGTTCCTAGTAGTTGACAGAGACTATCTATTTCCAGTGACTGGCCATTTTACATAGTCATTCATATTCAACGACCTGATCATGTCATATAGCAAGCATTATTCGGTCTATCAGAAAACTATCGTAACTTGCCTGTCTGCATAAAACACGAAGCGGTCGAACCGAAAGAAGCGGATAGGCCGATCAATGAACAATGACGGACCAGAAGGGCAGGTTTTTTTTTCCCCTAGTATCATTTGTATAGGTAGAGTACTCGAATCAATCAAGGAATTATTCCGGTCTACCTCTATCCACTTCAAAGTCCCCCTAGATGACAACTGAGCTGTCACTCGTCCAGACCCAGCAACAGAAGCTTGAATGACTGACAGCCTGTTGGATGTGAACTCGGGCTAATGGATGACAATATCATACAAGCCAGCGGCGTTGAACATGAAGGCGTATCAAACTTTAATAGGCGAGTGACTTACCAAATGCGACAGTTACAGGTTGGAATCGAGGGCACACTACAGTGGCTTAGTAGACGGTAAGGTCCGAGTGAGTTGGGCCGATGGCAGACCTTTGGGCGGCTGCCGATATCTGTCGATACTCTGGAGAGTAGCCAACAATAAAATGTCACTTCAACAACAATGAACGAAGACAGTGCCGAGCTGATACGCTGGGCCCGTCGGGCTTGTAAGTTGTCGCCCACTTACGCAACCAACAGCCAGCGTTATGTTATCGGCTGAACAGTTACCGCCGTGTTGTATCTTGACTTGACACCTCCTTGGATCAGATGAGGGGGAACTCGCCCAATGAATGAAGCTAATGGCAGGATAAGGACAGTTGAGTTCGTTTACCAGTGAACGGTGGAGCAAGCCCTCCAATTGTAGGGTTATGGAAACGACTGCGGCAATAAAGCCCAAACTGCTTACTGGCTAATTGGTAAATATAACAGCTGCCTGGAGAGGGTCAAACTCAAGCAGCTTATCGCGCCGACTAAGGTAGCAGGTGTTTTGTTGGCATTAACATCTACCTACGTACTTGACAATGACAGCATAGGAAGCGATGGCTGTGGTGCTCACCAACAAGAAATAATGGCTTGTCTTCTGCATGACCAACAAGACTGCAAACAACACAGTGGCTCTGGATCTTATTTTCCATTCCAGGATGGCGATATGGGTCCGCACAAGCAGGTCCTTGGCGGGTCTTGATCTGATGATTTGCAATCAGGAACTCATGAAAAACAACCGCTTCCAGCCCAGAACAGACCAGACCAGAAGCCCCTTCAAGATCTAGGTAGGGCGCCATATCAACAAGTCAAGAACTACGCAGTAGCTTCAACAAGGCAGCTCCGAGAGGATAGTTTCAGGGCAGTCATGTTGAGTGCGAGTGACATGAGAAAAGGGCTTGAAGGCACTGCTATACGAGATATGGGAGCGTGAATTCTGTCAGAATTTTATTCCCAAATGTGTATTTCCTTGATCCTGCTTTGTCCAACGAACACAATGTTTCAAATAATGAACTTTATTAGGCATACAGCCTTTCAATTTCGGACCCTGATCAGATCACCAGCTCATGTGTGTTGTTGATAGCTGCAAGCATTTTGAGCCAGTACTTGGGGTTTAGTTGGCTAGCTACGGAGTTAATCGCATCCGGTCAACGTTCAGCCAACCAACGAACCACCTTGCAAAGTTAGTAGAGTAAGAGTTTCCCTTCCGTTGCCGCTATGAGAAGTCCTGTCAGTCAGTCAGTCACTGAACGAGAGTGTCGCTTTGACAGCAGCCCAGCGGGTCAAGAAGCCTAACCAATCCCGTCGCGATGTCTATCTTCACCCCACCCCATGCTCTCCCTCGGATACTCTACACCCTGCAAACAACCTTTTCCACTCGATTCACACCCCGAAAGTGATTTGAGATAAACCAGATTTACGCCCCCCTGGCTAAGAGCGCCACTGCCCCAAGTGAACTCGACAGCGGACATCCTGGTGGCAGATCAACAAAGTTAGTTTGTTGACCCCCAGAACAGAGCAGTGCTTCGGCCACTCCAGCACATACAGTACCTAGGTGTTCTCTTTTCTTCGTTCGGTTCTTTTATATCTCACCCCCCTCCCCCTCCTGGTTGGTGTCACGACTTTACTTTACTTTACCTTGCCTTACACCTCTTCCCCATACATTAACTTACCTTACCATACATAGGCTTCATGCCTTCCTTCCGCCCCATCCTTTTCTCGTGGATATTTTATCACCTTCCTCCCTCCTTCTAAATCAACTTCCATCTCTTCCCCTGAGCCTCATCTCTCTCCATCTCATCACCCATCACCCATCACCCAACACCTAACAACAACAACTAATACATCACACCAAGCTTCAATAATACCACTTGAAACATCATCACTAAGAGGGACCTTCATCTATATACATATACTCGCCAACTAGTTGTCATCATTAATCATGAACAACGCCGTCTCCCAACCGCAGCGAAGAGGTCCTTGGTCACAGTATGAGGATGTGTACCTGATGGAGCTTGTTCGCACACATGGAGCCCTCAACTGGGTTCGTATCGCGACAACTCTGGGAACCAGAACGCCAAAGCAGTGCCGCGAGCGTTATCATCAAAATCTAAAGCCAACACTCAACCACGAACCTATCACACCCGAGGAAGGTCAAATGATTGAACGACTTGTCGCGGACCTCGGAAAACGCTGGGCCGAAATTGCACGCCGTCTCAATGGCAGGAGCGATAATGCCGTCAAGAACTGGTGGAATGGTAGCCAAAATCGACGCAGGCGCTCGGATCGACGACGTGCTGCGCAGGATCACCACGAAGGCTACTATCCTACGAACCGCCCTGGACTATCCATCTCTACACCAGCCATACCCATGCCTGGAACACAACTCTCCCCCCTAACTGGCACTGCCATGCGCCACCCCATGCATTCATGGATTGAAGCTCCTCTCCCCTCGCCATGCTCTTCCGATTCTGCTGAATCCGAAATGGGATCCAACTACACCACATCACCCTCCCACCAGTCCATACAGCTCGCTGCTCCTGTCGAATTGCCGCCGCTGCGTCACTCACACTTGCCAACAACTGGTGATTCCAGGCTTCCCAGCTTTGACAGACTGGCTCCTCCTCCCCATGCCTATTCGGACAGGGCCGAGTATCAGCCCAGACTGCCTCCTTTTGCTCCTCAAGCGCAACTACCCACCGCGCCCAATTCGCCCGTGCAGCAGCAATCACAGAACCGGAAAGCACAAGACTCTCGGATGCATCTGTCCACCCTCATGGATTAAGTTGATGTCGCAGACATGCGGTTGAAGAGGGGCCTTGGCTACACATGTAAAGCGATGGTATGTGCGGGTAACATGTAGATATTGAATGGGCGTATCGTTACCGCCAACCTCATCGGTCGTGAGGGAATCTCACAGGGTCCAGGGGATATTGTTTTGGCAAAAGATACCAGGCGTTTATGGAATGGTTTCTCGGGATTGGAAGCGAATGATATTTCTACGAATACTAACAAATCCGAGACTGGACATACAGTGCCATGATTCAGATCTCGAATGAGGGTTTAGCGATTGAAATCAAATAAAATATACTTGGGATTATCCAACTCTTCTGAGTGTCTCTGTCCTAATATGTGAACATGTGATGACCATTTTTTGTAATGCACTTCGAGATCAGAATTGCTTGCTATGGTCTGAATTTTGTATGTTCTAAGGACCTTGGCTTTAATTTGACCGGCTTGAAACGCTTGTCAACGTGTCTGGCATATCCAATTTTGTCAGAGTAACCTGGTGGGGGGAAGGACGACATTGGAATGTGGCAGCGTGATAGTCAGGACAGAAAACTACAAGAGCAGCTAGGCTGCTTGATGGCCAAAAAGTCCGATTTGACAGGACAAAGTACGCTCGCTGCCAGACGTGCGTTTGGCGTTAAACCCGACCTGATGCCCTGAGAAGAGCAGAATCACAGTCACAGTTGCAATGGTAGTCACAATGGGTAAGCCTCTCTCTCTCTCTCTCTCTCTACACGTATGCGCCAAGAGAGGTAACTTGAGTTGTGGAGAAGACTTGTTTCTTCATAGAGCAAGTAAGGTAACCAACACACATGATCCATGCACGTTCTGGTGGATGGGGGGATTTCCCGGTCACCTCTTTTTTCAGAAACAAAAAGTACAGCCGCAAGGCACAGGCAGACAGGACTTGCAAGGTCAGACAAGTAGAGACAGGGACACGGAGAAGCCAAGACATGCATGCACCGGCGGGACACGGGATCGACGTTGATCTATACTATACTGATAGAGGCTCAGAGACTTGCATTGTTGTGAGATACTGCACATACATACCAAGATTCAGATGCAAAATCTCGATTTCGCACCCCTGGTCCACTGTCCTTCAACGATGGCTGCAAGTCGATAGTGCCGTGCTGTAGGCGCCCAATGGACAATGCAAACGGGCCAGGGAGGGGCCATTGTTTGAGGGGATGCAACTTGCGCAGTGCTTCAAAGTACGAGACTCTTGGAAAGGCGGATTTCAGTTTCTGGTTAGTGTTTTCTTTACCGTTCAGGTCATTAATTGATCGATTGATCGAGGTTGAACATGTTTAGTCTATGGCTCTCCTGTCGGGCTGGCGCCAATGGATGACACTAACAAGGACCAGTTGGCTGGCGCCCTAGCGGTGCAGGCCCAATAGGGACCCCTTCCTTCGGGGATGGCGCTTTGATTTGTTTCTTATTCTTGATTACTGAGTTCTCTTGGTTTTGGGGAATGTCGTGCCCTCTTGGTTTCGATCCGTACATCCACAGGCGGACGGGATCTGCTAACTTGAGATGAGCGGGTCTTTCTCGAGGTTCCCTCCCTGCTGGAATACCTATTGAGTGTCACTGAACGAATGGGTGATTAAGGCGTTAGCGCCATGACGAATGATCAATGATTGAAGGATGCATCTGACTAACTACCGGCTGGACGGTGTCCCGAACGAAAGGGAACCGATCGATACTGCTCTAGGCGCTGTACTAGTCCTGAGTCGGATATGGCATGGCCCAACCTGGAAATGTGAGCAAGACAGGGTAGTATCGTGTGCCGTTGCTGTGATTGCTTCCGTCGACGCAACGCTTTTTTCGGGTGCATGTGGCCCAAGAGCCAAGGGCGCGGGTTTTGAATTGAAGATGATGGTGTGGATTTTACTAGAGCCTGTTGTAGGTGCAGTCACTAACGTATGTACATACAGTAAACAAAAGGAGGGGGGTATAGGCTGTGCTGTGATCCATGCTTGCATTGCATTCATCGACAGTGATTGTTGATTGCTTGATTGGATGGGTATTGGTGGAGAGATCGGGGAGCCGCCAACCGCCCCGGTCTCTGGGTGATGAATGTCTAGCAGTTACCGGTATCTGACACGATGGATGTGCTCAGTGCTCTCGGGCTCCCTTGAATTATTGTTTGTAGTGAGTTGCTATTATTGACCTAACTTGGCTGAAATATGCTGGAGCTGATGAGTACGTTCGCAATCGATGCTACTTTCATCTCTTGATTGCTTTTGTCAATAAGATACCCTGTCTTTATGCTACTGTTGCTGTGTCATTCAACTACACACCCAGACACCCTGGCTATGAATTCCTTTATCTTCAAGTCAGCCCCATCGGTCATTTGCGACAATCGATCTCGCGCCTTATTCAACGTTAATCTGGTAGTGAGGAAGGATCTGCCTCGAGTCAAACAAGGTAGACTACGGTTGTTCTTCTTTCTCATGCTGCGCGCACAAGCCTCTTCTGCCTGACTCAGACCCAGTATCTTCAAGCATGTCTTGTCGGGATATTTATCCTCCAATACACAGGGATCGACATAATCGTCCGTACCATACTCCTTATTATCCCTCCTTCTTAATCGTACAGCTATGCATATACCTCGACCAGTGCCGAGGTTGGTTGATCGGCATCGTCTTGGATCTCATTTTAATCTGCAATACAAGGTAAGGCAAGACGGAACCATCCACCAACCTAGCATCAGCAGCCACTGATGTTAGATGCAGGTGCACTATCCAATACCACCCATGTTCGTTTGTCTGGGCTGTCTTGGGGAACCGGACTGCACTAAGGGGGAGGTCAGGTCAACTGGCAAATGAGGCCTCTTGGGGTAATTTCCTCTCGTCTCCTCTTGTCTGGTACAGCTGGCATCTGGTAGTGGTTAATCTCATCAACGTCGGCACTCACTCAACCATCTATCTAACTGATCAGTGTCTGTAGTGTGTGTCCACAGCGCAACACGGGAGCCAATATTGGACCTGTAGGGACTTTACCCGTCGCCGTCACCTTGGCGCCGATCCCGCTGGTCGAGCAAGGGTTGCATGGGAAAATTACCGTACTCCAAGTGATCGAATCTACAGGGATCCTCGAGCCAATCACCCGGGAAGGACAATTCCCGACAATACGATAATCCATGTCTTTATCACAATGCAATGGCGGATTTAGGGGTCGATGGGGAGATCGCTCACAATTTCTTTTCTTCTCTTCTCTATCCATTATGACGTGCCGGGCCGGGGATGGTCAGTCCGAATAGCTTCGGGGTGTGTTTCTGAGCTCAATCTTCAAGGGTTCAAGATTCATTCATTCTTTCTCTTTCAGTCCAAAACGATGGACCAATCATTCATCTGTCTCAAACACGTACCTCGGCGTTGCACTTATGCAACCTCCCAATTTCTTGTGCAGCATCTCGGGCAGTGGAACCAATGTTTCTATTTTCTGATCCTTTCCGCCGCTGTCTGGTTCCGTGTGGATGGCACGAAATCTCACGGTCATTCCGCCCTTCTGCATGTAACGAACGCAACGCTGGCAACGCAACTCTCGCAGGCGCAGTTGAACGTCAACCAGCGTTGTCGTAGTCTCAACGGTCACAAACAAGAGCGAGGGGTTAAGTACCTAGGTTTTAGTCAAGATAGGGACGTGCACAACGGGGATATCGTTGTAGTGCACCCTTGTTCCACGATACGAAGAGCCATTGATTGGACCAGAAGCCAGCTGACGATTCCCAGGTCTTGGAAATAACAACATGGATGAACAGTTAGGTAGTAGGGGTTTCAGGCGCTTGATCAGATTATTGACCTAAAGGCCAATCGGCCAACCATGGCGAAGAATTCCAATTCCACCGCAATCAAACCAAAAGATTGTTCGCAGTGAAGAGCTGCTCAACACACCAGCTACAGGGCCTACAGGAAATGACAAAGCAAATAAACTTCTGTTCCAGGGGACCATGACGAATGAGTGGGTGGGTAGGTGGGAAAACAGGGTAGTAGTGTCACCGATGAGGCGGGCTGCCCGTTTAGCTGAGAGCTGGAGCAGGGTTCTTGGTGGGCCGCCGATGACATTCGGGGTGGCTCACATGAAACCTAGACGTTGCAACCCATCGATGACGATTACGAACTGCACGAGTGCAAGGCGAAAGTAAAACTCCAAACCCAAATTCTAAGTAATCGGCTGCGATCGAAAAGTCTAACCCACTTGGCCGTTAGGAACAAGATCTACACAAAAAGAATCAAGACATGCATATGTACAGACAGACACGGATTGTACAGGAACGAGAATGACAAAATCAGTCTCATTACACACCAGTCGGTCGTGAAGCAATTGATGATCTGCGAGCGGACATTTTGTCTGACTCTCAATTCTGTTACCGCCTGTACGGTTGCTTGTTACATCACCAATTTCAGCATTGACAGTCAGTCAGTCAAGTCAATCCTGGACAGTTTTGAAATTGCATGCCTTAGCAACATGGACTTTTTCAAAATCTCCTTTTCCGTTATTAGAAGCTCAGTTCAATTCAGATCGATTGCGATCATCAGCTAAAAGGTGTTCATCCTGGTCCAATTATGTATATACCCATCACACTCACTCAATCAATCATCCACACCCCCTCCACTCTGTTCATAAAGTTCCCAGAGATCGAGTTGAAGAAATCGAGCTATCGTATGCTGTGTGTCCATAACGTCTGAGATAGAGACATGCAATTGGATAGGTACGTATGGATGGATGGATGGATGGATCTTGGACGGACGGCAGCTGGGGTTTATACCTAGCTTACAAGGGGGGAAGATGGCAGTCTCAACGGTTTCTTTCCAATTCACGATTACTGATCGCCAGGGGCCTTCCTGATACTGAGTGTCACGTCACGACGGCTCTGTGTTTCTGCCTTTGTGTTTCTGTCTTTGGTTGGGAGCTTGGGCCATGTCCCGAAAATCTTCGGGCGCCCGTTGCGTTTCGGTCTTTGGGCTTGTCGCTGCCAGTTTTGATTGGGTCGTTTGATCCCCCAATGGAGCATCACATCACGCCCTGTTCCCCGTTAAGAATGATCTTCCTTGGTTTCCTCTGGGTCTCTGTAATCCTTGTCCCCAAAGTCAGACCCCTCTGACCCTGTCAAGCTGATGCTTCCCTGGTGCTTCCACCGTTCTGGCGGCGCCTGTCATGGAGACATGCACACACACACACACGGATGGAGACCGTTGTTGATCAGATCCATTGTTTGTCCAGCTGCTGTAACTTGGCTATTATGCCATGCCAGCCGAGCGAGCGAACGAACAACTGTCTTGTTTACTGATGCGGTTGACTAGCTCAATAGCACTATTGATTGATTCGGTCCACCGTTCACGCGATTCAGAGACTCATATGCGGTCATCAACCATTCACTCACAATCAAACTGGCTTTTCTGTCTCTGCTTTGAGCCTTGACCATGACGGTTGAAACTATTTGCGGTCTGTCGACACTTGGACGACTGCTTGCGGCTTAGATCATGCCGCTACTTGTAAACATCGAGTCAGCCACAGGCGGACGGGGGATGATCCATGCCAATGTCTCGGATTTGAGCATGGATCGTTAATCCAGCTAAAAGGTCCACTACCGACCGCTCCCGCTCACCGTTGGCTAAATCGACTCCCCCTCCATCTTCTTTCTGCCCTGTCTCTCTTTCTTAGCATTAGCGCACAAAGGCCGCCCCCCCGGGCCCCTGGCAGCTTGGCATTGCTCAAGCCTGAACGCTTCTTGAGTCGTCCATCTGTCCTGACTGACACCCCCCCTGCTGGGTTCTGTTGTTGGTGCTGGAGGTGGTGCTTCTGTGTCGCAAGGGCCGTTGCGATGGATGGTCTCAACCTGGATCGTGGGAAGGTTTCATTGCACCTCATCTTATCTCCATTGTCCTACAAAAAAGAAACTACTCGTATGTATGCACATACACGACATTAGTTGGGGGAGCTTGCCCGCTTTCTGTTCCGAGGTCGCGTTCACTGCATTTGTACTGGGTCGTAGTGGAAGCCCTGGCCTTTTAGTTCGTCACGACAACGTTGAGATTGTACTCGATATCCTTGTCAGTTTCAAATGGTGAGATCGAATGTTTACGTGTCAGGTAGGGCCCATCAGCTTGAGCATTACGCTGACTCTCTCTTACGAACGTATGCATGAGAAAATCATTACCGAATTGTGGTCCTGGAGACACCTTGACCGAATTTGAGTTTCATTCCTGTGTTCTTTGTGTCTTCACTTTGGCTTTACCAGACACGCTGAAAACAACGCAGAAAACTTTCCTCGAGGATGTGATGTAATCCGTTTACTCTACCAACAGCCTATTTTCATACTTTGATCGGCGATTTTGCCCGCGGCAGAGGATGGAATCTCACCAACAACTACCTCGGTATGGATATGCAACCTGTCGCTACGTAAAACCTGTCCCTCCATTGTACTGCTGCATTGGACTGGACTTATCGTACAACCAACGAGGCAAATACCGGCTGGCACGAATGACAAATCTTTTCAAGGCCTATGACCGGACCCAATGCGTCCATGAGGCCTCGCGACAGAGACATTGCATTGGGACACAGTTCCTGCTGCTTCCGTCCATTTCTTGTTGTCGCTTTTCTATTTTTTTGTGGCTTTGTTGGTCATCGTGTTACTGCAAACCGGCCCTCTGTACCGGGTATTCCGTCGCGACGGGAGCTCTGACTAGTAGGTAGCAAGCAAACAAACAAACATCACGGACCAAGAGACCCAGCCCTGCGGAGCCAGGCGCCCTGAAGCAGAAGGAAAAGAGACAACTAAAATATTAACTAACTAATAAGCAAGCAAGCAAGCAAGCAAGCAACAAACAAACAAACCTACACACTCTGCTCGACGGTTGAAGAAATGACTTCCTATGTCCGATCTTCCTAACCAAGAACAGATAGGGGTGCGTGAATTGGATGGGATGGGAATGGATACAAAATGGAGACAAGAGAGAAAAAAAAAAAAGGAATGGAAAGGGAAGGGGAAGGGACGGACGGGAGGGAGGGAACTCAACGAACGCGGATGTTTATGGCCTCCGTCTAAACCAACAACAGGTCTACAAGACCCAGGGATCTGGATTCAGCAGTCTCGCTTATCGCCGCCGTTCGGGGGAGATCGAGCAGGCACTCACTAAGCTAAACGTAGGTAGTGGTAGGGTGCTCGATCCGCCACAAACAGCGCCAACACACTCTAATTGGCGCTAATTAGTCATCCACTATTTTCACCTCGGGCACCCCTACAGCTTTACTGAGTCGGCCGCATATGGATCACCTCACTCACTACTAACAGCTCGGAAAACTTTATTCCTCCTTCATCGCCCAATGTCCAATGACTTGGCCGACGATCGAGCTTTGGTGAAGCCATCACCATCGTCTCTGACGTATCTGCTCCGTATCATCGTAATCAGAATAACACATTCGTCGGTTTAGACAGACATGGATTTGCCCCAAGATCTACTTCACAGATGTCGAATCTTGGTGCTCGCAACATTTCGGTGCATATCTTGGTACAAGTAACATGACACTCGCTCGAACACACAAATTAGCGTGTGCTTCAATCGACCGCGGCTCGCTCAATTAAGCGAAACCGATGAACACCAAGGACGTTGCACGATTCAGGCACGATTGATCTCGCCGCTCTTGCCCTCAGGCACAGCTCTAGACTTTGCTAGACCATCGTTTGAATAACGGCATGCCCTGGTCTAGTTGCATGCCATGTTGTCGCTGAGGAGACAGACTGATAGACACTTCATCTGCCTTACCCGTCCCGTTGATGGTTCCTTGATTTAGCGACAGTCACATTCCTCGCGCTGTCGATGAAGCGTGGCTCGATTCAGCACGCGCTGTATTGGCATTCCTATCGCAAGCGCGCCACTCTGAGCGGTTCCAAGGTCTTTTAACCTTAATTCGTCAATTGACTGAGTCTTGAACTCGATATAAGGTTCGGCACCGGCGTCTTTGCCTTGTCTTGACAGGCTTGACAGGCTGTTCCGGGCTTGTCTAGTCTTCTCCAGGTTTTACCACAACTGCTCGTTTGTTTGCTCGCTGCCTTTGTCTTCTAAGGCTAGATCCCGTCTCGCCCGCCGCGCCCGCCAAGCCCGCCTCACCCGTGTCACATCCGCCGTCACATACTATGCTTCTTCCGTCGAGTCCTGAGCCTCGTCGATGCGACGCCTCTCGGTCATCCGAATCGCCTTCCACTCCGGGCCTATCGCTTGCATCATTTGTCACAGTCGAGTCGAGCCAAGTTGTTAACCTTCGCCCTGTAGGACCTCTCATCGTGTGATCTTCCCAACACCCCATACTGTCCGTCTTGCGACAAACTCTCCATCGAACTCACCCCTCGTATAAACTTTCGCCGTTGATATAATGGAAAACTCTAATTGCCCTCCGTCCAAGACTCCGCATGCTACTGACAAAAGAACCCTTTGCGGGAGTTAGTCAATCACCTCTAGGCTCGATATGAGAAACGATACCGAGGTCTGACGGCTGGCTTATTCTCTGAAGTGGCTAGAGTCGCAGGTCTGATGCTTTGGGGTTGTCGTCAGTGTCCGGCCGTCGCCGCTCCATCGTCCATATCCACTCGGCCGATCTCGACCTACGGTTCTCTTCACAGAAACGACCAGTCTCTCTACTAGTTGTTGGTACCCGGCTGTTTTGGCTTTGTTTACCCAGAGCGCTTCCTGACGCCCTGGGCCCGCCCAATCGTACAGCTGTTATATCGTCTTCAGGCACAAACGAGAATTGACGATGATGGCGAGAATTATTTGGGTGGGCTTTTCGATCGCACCTGAGCTCAGTAACCGTATCCTGGCTTGACTGGTTTGGCGTGAGAGTTGTGGATGTAGAATTTGTCCGGCTAACAATACCAACCTCCTCCATTACTGTTGATTTTTCGGCAGAATCGCGCTCCTTCTTGGCACTACCTTTGTGTGGCGGCACGTCTGCTGTGCCTCGTCCATCTGGACCAATTGATAGCACAGAAGCGCTTCGTGAATGCATTTCTTCTCGGCCTTGCTCCTGACGTGTCTTTCCATCGTCGTCTGCATGTGTCTCGAATCGGCGAACGCCGTTTGCTGCTTTCTTCTTCTTCTTGAGGTGATCTTGAACTCGGAAACCTCTACTCAATCTGACCTCGTTGCTGGTGTCCATGGTTCGTGTTCGAGATACTATTGATAAGATGTTAGTATAGAGCGGAGATTATATAAGTCCGAAAATGAACACTTACACACTGTATCCTGGCGTGTTAGTAAGGTAGGATTACCCTCGTTCTCGACAGTGATTTCAGGGGCTGATTCACGTCAAGTGTCAGGGTATATTGAGTGCTTCACGGTTGGACATACTTGCATCTGTTCGACGTGTCCTCGCCGACCACGTCACTTTTAACCGCCCTTCGCCCTCCTGTGGAAGCTCCAGCTCTTCCCCCTAGGAGACTTCCGGCCCTGGCAAGTGCCACAGCCTCCATGCCTTGATCAGACATTCGATGAATAAACATCTCGAGACGTTTGACCTCAGCTTTGTACCGTGCATCCTGGACCATCCAATGTTCTTCTATGGAGTTGTGTCGATTTACCTCGTCCTTGAGTGCTTCTTTTGCTCCTGCAAGCTCTTTTTCGAGCTTGGCAATCTTTCTGTGTCGAGTACCATAAGCTTCGCATAGAAGTAGGATATGTGAGCGATACTCTGCAGACAGCGCTTCGCTTGCAGGGTTGGTCATTACTGCAACTTGCAAAGTTTCTGCCACTTGGTCAACGGAGGGGTTGTGCCAGATCTGCTGGCCTGCGTTGATGAACAACTTGTCTACTTCGTCCAAGCTGTATTCCGCCTCAGACGCCGAGGTAGTCGCCTGATTCGCCTGAGATATTCCTTGCCAGCTAGGGAGTCGTGTCATGCTCTTCTTCCCGCGGTGGCCATGCGTCTCTTTGTTTTTGGGAGCATCTTTGTACAAGTCTTGTAGAGCTGCTTCGGAGCGACGATACTTCAGATCGTGCTGTCGAGCTCTGTTGCCTCCAAGGAATCGTAGCCAGCTTTGGTCCGCCATAATGCGTTGCATTCGTTTTGGTGCTTGTCTGCTATGAAATGGTGATGAAGGTATTTGGGCAAGAAGCGCTGCAATGGAATACTTTGACTGCCTGATTAACTGATCATTGGCAAGCAGGAGCCTGACGCAGTATCTGCCACTCCCGGTGACAGTGGCAGTGGCAGGGCAGTGGCAGTCATTTTGCCTCCAAAACAACAAACTCAGTATACACGTACGTCACCGCTCTTATTCACATCCCTATTCCATCTGTCATTTAGAGGGCACATAATACAGACATTTTACTCAATCGAGTTGATATAATTCATCTGTTCGGGTCTACAGATGCTTCCTTTGTAAGCTCATCATTATCACATATCTAACAAACATTCCTCCGCGAGATCAGAATCAAGTAGTTCTGTGTTACGAACTCTCTCCTAGTTGCCATTTGTGTACCTAAGTCAGGGGTCATTCTCCTACTTGAGTGCGACCTCCTTTCACATCATTCATGTCGGGGCCCTCAAACCTCCCCTTGATCCACTCACTCTCACTCAACCTCCAACCAGTTCTGAATGAATATTCTGCTTCTGCAACAATGGATTTCATCTCTGATGTTTGCTCAGGCTGATCCGTTTCGAGGTAGCCCATCGATGTAAATAGCGCACGGTTTTGTGCCAGTTCAGAATGTTCTGAGTAGTTCACAAGTGATTCAAGGATGGTCGAGCTGGTATCTCTCCTTAGAGCTGGCTGAAGCGGCATTATACCACAATCGTTCAATTCGAGAACTCTCGCCTTGATAGTGCGAGGAGAATCGATTCGATCTGGGAAGCTGGTAGTGCTGGTTGTTATGCTGGTATCGGTGTGTTCTACCTCCTCTTGGATATCAGACAGAGAGGTGTATTCATGAGCCTGGACCTGCTTTTCAATGTCTCCATGGTCTACAGGCTTCTTCACCGGAACCTCGGGGAGAGGACGAGCTGAGGTATTTGGCGGTGCAATTATAGGGGCTGCTTCGGTCAACCGCCTTGGACGTGTTGACGAACGGGGCTCCTCCTCGACCGACAGAGCGTCATCCAATACTGAGCTACTTGGACTCTCTGTTCGAGGATTTCCAATACGAAGTGGTTTGATGGAATAAAACCCTTTGCTTGTGTGCTCAACCATGTCCTCTTCCATATCGACTGAACTGTCGTCCAACTCGGTGGGATCCGGTGCGAGGCTCAGTTGGCGGAGGTTTAATAACGATCGATAGAGAAAATGGAAAGAGACGAAAGGTGATTCCTTCGAGTCGATCAGGATCCAATCGTAGAACCAGGCCTCATCTGGTGAATCGAGGAGTCCACCTGAGGGTGACCTGCAACTGATTAGCCTAACGTCATTGAACACCCAAGGCATACAAACCCAATACCATATGACTCCTGGCCACGATGCCCTTCCAGTACAGGCAATCTTCGGATTCTGCCCTTGGCCCGAAAGACTTGGACCTCTAGCAAGCCGCCATCTTCTGCAGCTGATTGATGCGCATGTGGTAGAAAGGAGAAGCAACGCGCCTCTATCCCGTCCCTGATGCGTAATACGCCATCTTCCTTGTATTTCCAGCGCTCACTTGGCTCACAGAGGGAGCGCGTGATGGAACCTGAAGCTTGTCTGAGAACCCTCACGCCGCAATTTGTAATGTTTCTGCCATTCATGAAAATCTTGAAATACAAGTAGCGTGGCAGCTGTGACGTTTCGTTGAGTGCATAGTGGATTCCAAATCGTGATCCTAAACTCAGTCAGGCAAGATTCTTTGAAGACTTTGATTCAGACAAAAACAAACCTGGGTCTGAGGGGATGTAGACAGAAATACGAGGACTGGTCTTCCGAAGCTGGTGTGGCAATGAACGAAGACGGCTCGAGCTGGCGAGACTTGAATGAGACAGTTGATCAACAGACGGCAGAACACTCTGGGAGGAGGAATCTGAGAGAGGAAACTCGGGGAGCTTAGCCAGTTCAGGCTGAGTGACGATTGCAACTTCGATACCCTCAAAAGAAGGCATGTTGCGCAAGCTCTGGAAGACCACCAGCTGTTTACAGACGAAAATGAAGGAAATACGTCTTTGAGGGGTAGAACTGGTAGAAATTAATTAAGTAAATACTTGGGTACCTGAGTGTAGAGAATCCGAGGCGCTTGGAGATTGTTAATGAGAGGTATGATGAGGAACTGGCAGCCAGCTGTTGTCGGCTGGCGAATATGCCCGGTTACCCATGCACCTTTCTTCCCTAGCATTTGAGCATTGCTTGGTTCCTGCTGCCCGTAGACCTAGAGCTTGGGAGAAATACGACACATTTGCAATACGCCAATCTGAATAAGGCCGCCCTTCGCCTGGTTCATATCACATGGCTCCGTACATCAACGGGGTTAAGTAATGGTGGCTAAGGTTCTCTAAAGCACAATCCCAACTTGCATGGTGTTGTCATTGTCGAATTCGCTCAAAGCGGTTTGTTGAATGCACTGTTCGTATCGAAGCAGCAGGCAGTCCTACCTTCGATAGCTTGTCAAAAGCCCCAGGTGGTTTGGACGTTGTCACGATTGGCAGCTTGAGCAAACCCAAGGTTTATTCCTTCATGTGTAGTCGAGCGATACAGGTAATCCGGCAAGCATAAATAGCATTCGAGTATCATTCATCGAGTATTTCCAGATCCGTACGTCGTCTAGCTTTGTCCCAGCACCTTCTTCGTGTCTTCCTCCTTGTCGATGAGTCCTAGACTCCTTATTTGTTTAACGCTGGGCGCATCATCGCGTGCTGTAGCGGACTCGCTTCGGGCGTAGGCGGCTTGCATAGCGAGAGCTCGAGCATGCTGCCAATTGCTGTTAATTCACTGTCCTACTATGCCGAAAGCAACGTCGAATCTGCATGTTTAAAACCTACCTCCTTCTTGTGGTGGAGGCACTCGTAGTAATCTTCGAGAACCAGACCGCACTTCTTCTTGCCAGAGTCATCAGCGGCAGTGGTGTTGACCACATAGCAACCCATAACCTCCTGCCAGAAGGGAAAGCAGCGGCCAACGCCTAAAGCCCAAGTAGATGTCGTCAGTCTAAGGTATGTTTGACTGGTTGTACGTGGGGTGGAAGCTGCCTTGATAGACTTACCGCCGTTCATTCCGTATCCCGACGCCATCTTGAGCCAATTGAGTATATGTCGAGGCTTTGCGCGGGTCGGACAATGTCTAATCGTTGAATCGCGGTTCGTTTGACGTTGTAATCGTGAAGTGCTTCCGGCTCTTGAGTTCACCCGTACCTTGGCCGAGTAGCAAATCGGTGCGCGTGGATTGGATGGTGAAGTGGATCCTGTCGGCTCACTGAAAATAACGCTTGAACAGCCAGCCACATATATGCGTGTGTGGCGTAGTAGCTGTGGCTGTAGCTCCCTACCCAAAGGTATACACCTTACCCTGACCTTGTCCACTCTGTTCAGTACTAAGGTAACCTGCCACTTTGTTAGTTGAAGTTGGCTAACCAACATATGACCTCTCCTTTTCCAGTCCCAAAGTGAAAGTATTTCTAAAAGCTTCACTCAAACTTGAAATATCTTTTACCCTTCCATCCGACTGGGAATACTATCGTCATCATCATCATGGCGGCTCATGTCCCGCTGGGCCCTGCGAAACTCGTGCTCTTGGCTGTACACTTTGCAACCATCGCCGACATCGATAGCTTGACCTATCTCATAGGTCAACATGCCACAATACTACGGCCAGAGCTGGTGCTCCGAATCATTCTCACATATCTTCCTGAAACCCTCAGTCCGGCGGTGTATGTACCTCTCATACAAGCCATAGTCACTGGCGAATCACCATTACAAACAAGTTCAGACTACCAGCTTGACACTTCTTCTGTTCAAAGTACAGCAGAAGAACAGGCTTCAAGAAAAGTCAAGAAGCTTCATCTTCTCTCTCTCAAAAACACTGATGTGCCTCTCACTCTCACTCATGAGGCTGATCCACTCACCTCTTTCTTACTTTTGAGAGCTTACAGAATGGACGAAGAAGCGGGCATGTTACCACAAGTCCCTGACCTGGTATCCCCGTTTCTGCAACATTCGCAAGAACTCCATACATGGATGATTTCAACGGTACTCCCCCTAGTCAGACGAAACTATGAGTTTTATCCACAGAGACCTATACGGTATTCGTTGCTCGAGTTTCAGAATCTGCCTGACAGAATGGCCATCGATTATCTACTTTCTGAAACAGGTGCCGTCAATGACGAGTCTGGTCTAGCTGGTCGTGATCTGAGTGGATTAGTTGGGCCTTGGCTGCATAACGACTCGAGGTGGAAACGCGAGGCCTTTGACCAAGATGTATCAAATGAAACGGATGCAGCGCCCGAGCTATCGTGTCCTGGTTGGGAGCAGGCCCTCGAGTGGCTCGCCTCTAAAGCGTCAACATCCTGGCCAGTCGCTCTCAGAGCCATTGAATCCTGGGATGGGCCATCGGATATAGACCTGGGAGATGATGCTGGCTCGTGGCTTCAGGAAAATCAACAGCAGTATCTCGACCGCTCTTATGCCAGGGCCGTCCTAGCTTCGGCATATCTTGTCTCTGATGCCGACGTGGGGGCTTTGGGGGGAGCTTTCAGAATCTGCAACAAGATTCGGTCTCTCTTGGATGAAGACTCTGATACAACACTTCAATCGGCAGTAGTAAATCTTGCCCCTATTCCACCTTTCGATATGGATGCATTTGGCGGAGCCAAAGCTGCGACATACCTACGTAACGACCTATTACAAAGCTCAAATCCTCTTACAACCCCCAAGGAGGAGTCTCTCGATCTTCTCCCTGCTCTCATTCAAAGTGCTTATCTTCTCACACACTCGGGCGTCCCCTGTACAGTACGTAGAGCTGGAGATCTAGCGTTTATTCAAGATCAGCAGGAACAAAAGTCGCAACTTTGCCGGCTTATACGAAATCTTCCAACCCGTGCATCTGACGACGACGATTTTTGGATCAGGGCACGAAAAGAAATACTATGGTTGTACGGTTGGGGAAACAGTCCAAAGTCCACTGGGGACGAAACTTTACAAGGCATCTTTGGCAATGTGACCCTAGAGTTCATTGAGACAGAGCTTTTGAAAGCCATGCTCTCGCGCTCACGTATGTATCATGAGCATGTCTATATGGCCACTTTACACCTGACACATCTTAGGATACAACCTAGCAAGAACCCTTTACGACCAAGAAGGGCCAGATGCGCCCCTATCGGTATCTGCCGTGCTAAGTACCGTACAAAACGCAGCTCTTGAGGCGTTCGATAATGCTTCAAATCCGAACCGAAATAGAGGGGGATTGAAAAAATGTGACGAAATGTAAGTCAGTTACTATGTCCTTGGGACACCATTGTTGACAATTAAATCAGCATCAAAGCTTTTCCGACAACGTTAGGTGTAAATCATCCTGTCAGAAAACGCATCGAGGCATTATTAAAGGCTACTCATGCCTTGAGCGACTATCGCCTGGTACTCAAACAAGGCGAACCTTTCAGTCCCGTTGTACTTCGAGTGCACTCTGATCCAGTCTCGATCATCGAGAAAGTTCTAGAACAGAATCCCAAAGCATACACACGTTTGCAAGAGTTTGAGGAACTGGGAAGCAACATGATCCAGGCGAACTTGCCAATTTACCTAAGGCCAAGAAAGCAGCAGCCGATACCAGAGGATCGAGATGCAGTCAAATCATTGGTTGTAAAACGGATCGTCGCCATGTGCATCGAAGCTGCTTTGCGCGAAGACGACTTTGAAACAGCATACTCTTACGTGGTTACCCGCCTAGGTGCCGACGAGAACGTACACAAGTCGCAGCCTGAAGGCATATCCGACGAATGGTCATGGAAGGCAGCACTAGACGCTGGCAAGTATGTCCGCACGGAGAGATCTCAAAAGCCAACGCATCTCGGCACGGCAAGTGGAAATCCCGAGATTCGCCATCTCGAGCAGCGGATTGAGTGTCTGGCAACTTCTCTACGCATTGCACCCCAGTCTCAGCTTCAGGAAGTATTAAAGACTTTCCGTCGTTGCGAAGAGCAGTTGGATGCTGCAATCAAGGAGGAGGCTGCTCGAGAAGCTGCCTGGGATACTGCAGGCGATCTTTCGGGGCTCCCTGGCTCGTTCGATACACCAGACCCAGACAAGGCTTATCCACCCCGCAACATATCTGCCAGCGCGACAGCTCGTCAGGCTGAAGAAGCACCAATGTCTCTCTTCGATCTTTCCAGAGCCACAGCTAGGGTCGCATCCAGGAACCTCACCGTGTTGTCAAGCTTGCAGGGTTCTTTTACATCAGATAAGGCGAATCCAGAGTCAGAGTCTTCTGAGTCCGAGTTGCATGAGCAGAACAGAACAAGGAAGAGAGATCAACTTCGAGAGGCTGCGACTGGTACACTGGTATCTGGCGTAGGGTGGCTGCTTGGAGCAAATCCAAATCGACCTGCAAGTGGCCAGCAGTAACCAGACATGCCCTATTGGAGACCATTTATCAAAGAGGAGGGCGAGGAAGTGACCTTGGAATAGCAGGTCAGGTTCTGTGAAAATGATAGGTCATTAAAAGCATACATTCAGTGTAACCGAGTAGCCATTCAACTCGTTTTCATGTATCAATGCACATGCGAAGGATGCAGGCGAGGCTGGCTCCCCATTATGAGTCAAGGGAATAATCTCGATATCGTCCCCTACCTACACATATAATACGAAGCTGTCATGGCTATAACTGTTTCGAAAATGTGACGGACAGGTCAAAGTACTGGGTTAAAGAAGTGCGGAGACGTCAGGCGCAAGAAGGGTTTTTTAAAAGTTCAATTACACAAATATTTACAGTCATAGACTGAAACTAATCGAGAGGTTGCTTGTATGGCAGCTGTTACAGGCAATGTCTCGATGTTCTTTGGAATAAATATAACGCACTGTCAAAGGTATGCATCGCTGGATGCTTCGTAGCCGCATATATGCTCTTTCGTAATCCACCTTGAGTAATAGAGAAGCTGAAATAGCATTTCCGCACGGTAACAACTCTTATTTGACTCGGCCCGCAAGTAGCGTCCGCCCAACTCACTGTTCGGACTTATTGCAGCGAACCCTCTGCGGTTGTCCTCGTCTATCAAATCTGTTCTGCTTAGGGAATCACCCTACCATTCAGTCAGCAGGATCACAACTTGCAGTCCTTACCAGTACACAGATCCAGTCTTGTAATTTTTTAAGAACTTATACTAGATGTTGGCGATAAGTTTGCAGAATCATAATCCCAGGATATGTTGGAAGAGCTTGGCGAGAAGACGTTGGTTGAGAGGACTTCGTGTACCGTGTCGCTGAAAGCCGAGAAATATTATAAACCCCACGCGTGAGCCTAGCGATAGCGGTTTTCATTGATTTTCAGAGTTGTAGGGGGTGTCAAGTTGTTTTACAGCGATGTGTGATTTGATTGGCGGTGGGTGAAACATTTTACAGGCGTCTCTGAGTCAATAACTAAAGTCAGTCAGGACGAGCAGAGCAGAGCAGAGCAGCAGCCACAGATGCCCGTCTCGCATACCCCATAATAGTATGTGTATGTGATACGAGGACAGCACAGGCAGGGCAGTTGAGTCGCGAGGCCGCATTCGAAGTTGAGTTTGATAGTCCATGTGATTCACCGATTAGGCCGGAGTCGACATCTGGTTGATGTTGTGCTAGCAATAGCTATCATAAAGTCGTCGAAGACGCGATGGATGACTGATGAAGTGTTTGATTTGCAAAGATCCGGAAGCTGCCAAATGTGGTCCATATGTGACCTTGTTGCAAAACCGACGACCAGCAACAAGAAAACTCAAGTGACGCAGGCCGAGTACCCATTTTTGATTCCAATCCCTTAACTGTCGCAATCACACTAAACTCCTGTGTGAGCAGAGCCCGATTCAGTCTGCTGTGGTCCATGAAAGATAAGAAAACAACGAGTAAATAACAGTTAACAGAAGAAAAATTGAACAAGCAAAGTTACGGGGTTAGTAGAGGAAAGGAGAATGGACGTGTGATCCCAAAGACTGATCGTTCAGTCTCAGTCGAGTCGTGGCAAACATCAGCTATGCGTTTACTGAATGTTGCGGTCGGGGGCGCCTAGTAGGATTAGCGGGTACATAACTAGGTGGAAGTCAGTAGTAGGCCGAACCTCCATACGCATCGCGTGTCTCGGATCGAGAGGCAGATTCGCCATAACCAGCTCCTCCAGCGCTGGCAGCTGGGTCGCGAGTTCGAGCGGCATCTCGGTCGCCTCCGCGTTCGTATCGGTCACCACCACGTTCATAGCCAGAACCGCCAGGACCTCCACGAGGACCATAGCGGTCTCGCTCATCACGACCGCCGCCGCCGCCGCCACCTCCTGCGTAGCGATCACGGCCGTAACCCTCGTCACGGTCACGGCGTTCATAGCCTCGATCGTAGTCGCGGCCACCATAGCCGCCTCGATCCTCGTATCGACGCTCATCACGGTAGCTGCGGTCGTAGTCGCGGCCGCCGCCGCCTCCTCCTCCGCCGCCGCTGCTGCCACCATAACCACCTCCACGCTCCTCGTAACGTCGCTCGTAGTTGCGGTCGTAACCACGGTAGCGGTAGGGGTCATCACGACCGTAACCACCGCCGCCGCCGCCGTAACCACCACGACGGCGATCATCGTAACGTCCAGGACGGGGTTCTGTGACTAATCAGTACAATGTATACTATGTCGTTGCCGGGATTCCTTACCTCGCTTGGGTGGGCCAAAGTACTTGCCAGGAGTCGGAGTACGAGGACGAGCTCGGCGGGCCTTCTCGATGCTCAAGGTGCGGCCCTCAATCTGTTCGCCTTGAAGACCCTCCTTGGCAGCTTCGGCTTGTTCGGATGTGACCATCTTGACAAACCCGAATCCACGGGACTCTTTGGTGTGAGGGTCACGCATGATTTGGCACTTCTCAACATCCCCATATTTTTCAAACATCTTAGACACCTCAGCTTCGGAAAGCTTGGGGTGGATACCTGTGACAAAGAGGTTGGATCCAGGGTTGATAGCTCCATCATCGTCGTCCCGGGAAGCAGACACGTCCTTCATGTTGCTGTTGTAGATATTAATGTCAGTATTTATTGATCAGGTGATAGTCATCAAAACGAACCTGTCTCCATGGCCGCCGGGTGAAGCGGAGCGACGACGGCTGCCTTCGTTGTCGTCACGAGCGCGAGGCGAGGCACTTCGGTTGTCGCGTTCATATCGAGGAGCCTCGTCTAGAACAAGTAGGTTAGCTATGTGCGCAAGCGGAATATATACGACAGGGCGAGTTCATCGGGTGAAGGGGAGGTGCTGAAGATAAAGTGCTGAAGGCGAATTTGATGGAGTGTTGTTCAAGCAAACAGCAATGAAGAGCAAGCGCGTGCATCAACGCGCTTGGAGCTGGCAACGAACCTTCGTACCGGTCGCCATTGGCAGCCTCGTAATCCATCGCGGTAGTAGCCATCTCTTTTGATTTGGTTTTGTCTAGTAAAACACGAAATAGACAATGGGGCCAGAAATGGTTTAGGTGCGGTGGCTGACGATGAATAGCTCACGCGCAGGCTGGTTTGGTGAAAAGGCGATGTTGAAGAAGGGAGAAAAAAAAGTCGGCGTAAGGGGAAAGGGAAAAGCAAAGGCGCCGCAAGGCAGCAAAGCCGAGTATTAATAAGTGCGATAAAATAAAATAAAAAGGAGGGCACAGGAATGCGGCAACTAAGTTGACAGCTTTTATTTTGAAAATGCTGTGCAACAAAGAAAAAGAACAAAGAAATCTCTACGTTGGTTGAATAGAAAGACTTTGGTTGGGCCAAATATCAAACGTGATGGGCAAACAGCAGCAGATGAGATGGCTCGGAAATGGATGGGCCTGGTGATGGGGACGGATGATGAATGGAAGCGTGCGTGCCCGTGTTTGGTTGGAAATTGATGGGGACAAGGGCGAATCGAATTGCGACGTTGGTCCTGTCTGTCAGCGAGGCAACTAACCTAGCAGGGGACAGGGCCTGTTCACTGATTGCTGAGGCTGAGGTACCTGAACATGCGTCAAAACTAAGTCAAGTTTTAGGTATCGACTCAGCTGCAAGCCAGTGTCATTGCCTGAAGAGAACACTGTTCATTCAAACGAAGTGTGTCCCGTCGTAGTCTACCCGACAGTTTGGCAACTACGCAATTGCCTTATCACCATTAGAGCTACCCATCCTATGGATACCTTATTTGTCCATGCCTAGAGGTAGAAGGAAAGATATCTCTCGTTGCATTCTTAGCAGTCTATGCTGTGTATAAGAAACCAAGGTTATCTACAAACTATATAACATGATTCTAAAACTACCTTATTTTTTAGAAGATATTAAGAGGTACTAGCTATAAGACTATACAGAACAGGTATAACTGCCTACCCTGGAGCTACATATGCAACCTACAATGCTTCTTGCACCGATTTGTTGCTGCAAATATTTGACAATGGATTTCACATTCCGACTTAGCGATTAACCAATCACGGGTGATATGGGACTCGATTTATGTGTTCCTACAAAAAAGTTGCGCCTCGAGGACAATGTCAATTATCCCCCCAATTAACCAGCGGCTGTTTCAAGCGGGGGGATCTCGATCCAGCCAGCCGTGAAACCCAAACTCATATCTATAAATCTCCTCTTATACCATAGCATTTGACTCACCACCCATTTCCTATCTAGTAGCCAACTCACGACCTCCAAGGCATCACAAATCATGTCACTCAAAGGAAAAGTTTACGCGCTAACTGGCGGTGCAAGCGGAATCGGCTTCGCAACAGCCAAAGTTCTTGCACAGCGCGGGGCTACTCTGAGCATCGCTGACATTGACCCCGATGCCATGTCAACTGCTACAGCATACTTTAATGAGCAAGGCATCGAGGCATTGGTTTCTCATGTCGACGTCTCACAACGGTCTCAAGTCGAAGACTGGCTAGACGCTACTATTAAGAAATACGGGAGACTCGATGGCGCAGCAAACGTGGCTGGTATTATTGGGAAGCATCACGGTCTTCGTGCCGTAGCAGACCTGGAGGACGAAGAGTGGCATAAGATCATCGCTGTGAATTTGACAGGAACAATGTATTGTCTACGGGCACAGCTCAACCGGATAGTAGACGGAGGCTCTATCGTCAACGTCGCTTCTATTCATGGTATCAAGGGCACGTTGCAAACTGCGCATAGCGGAATCTCTAAAACTGACCAGTGTAATCAGGATTTGCCAAGCACGGCGCCTATGACACCAGCAAACATGGAATAGTTGGATTGACAAGAGCGGCAGCAAAGGAGAACGGCCACCGAGAAGTGCGAGTCAACGCTGTTGCTCCTGGCGCTATATATACCCCATTGATGAAGAAGGCATGGGATATGCACAACCGACCGGACGACGCCGCTTTCGACGAGCCGACTGCCTTCCAGCGCCAAGGCACGCCAGAAGAGTGTGCTAATGTGATAGCTTTTCTCCTCGGCCCCGAGAGTACCTTTGTAAGTGGAAGCGTTTACGAGGTGGACGGAGCCTGGATATGAATAGTTAGTATTCGTCAAATCACGATAGGGGCTGTAAGCTCATACACCAGAGTTTGAGTTGAGTTTCGAGCTTGATGGAGTTATGGAAGGGCAATCGCACATTGATACCGTTTACCAAACATCCTCGGGATCAACCATATGAGTTTCTCCATCATCTCGAATGTGCTGGCGATCCTTGTCTCGCTTCATGGGCTTGCGCATGTCGAATGCGTCCTCGCTCGTCCTGGAAGGGTCCGTTGCGTGATCACCATAGTAGTCCTTGACCACGCGGAAGACGCTGTAACCCAGATTCTTGTAAAGGGTAATGGCCCTGTGGTTGCTGCTTCGAACGAATAAGTCTACGAACCAGGCGTTCTCAGCATCAGCTGCAACTTCCAGCTGATCAGTCAAGATCTTGGCAATGCCGGATCTCCTCGCTTCTGGGGCAACAGTGAGCGCCGTTATATGAGCGTGCCATGGTAGGTAATGCTCGGAGAATTTGTAGGCGTCCGGAGAGGACTCAACCTTGCCCATGACTGCCAGCCAAAATGTTAGCCTCAACAAGGTCGGTACTCTGAACGTCAAGGAGAAACCCCACTATATCCAACTATGTTTCCATCCATATCCTCACAAACTTGAAAGAGGGACGGCCATTTTGCATGGTATTGGAGGTAGAAATTGAGCTCGTAAGTTTCCGTGAAAGGGTCAAGATTGCACTTGGAAAATTTGTTCACATCGTCAGGTCGAAACCGCCGAAATGTCGCCATATTCAGAGCTGCTTTTGTGGTTTTCGATCAATGAATACCGGAGCCGCACTTTATGTAGAGGAATAGCTATATGAAGCTGGAACTTGGTCGTCTTTAGCCGAATAAGTCAAATTAAGACAGTTTTGGGGGCGTGTCTGATGAGAATGCGAGTTGTATTTGAGAAACATGAGCTTTATCAGACTGCCCCGCGAGAGCATCTAACAAAAGTTCAGTTTGCTTCTTTTTATTGGTGTAACGTGGCTGTGCGATTTATTTCGAGTCAAGCCACAAATGATAGCAAACGTTTTAACATTCCCTCCAGGTAGACATTCTGCATAACATTATCTCCTCCACTGGGTTGGCACTAATACCAATACCCTTTGCCCGCATTAGCGCCAGTCCTGGAAAGACCCACCTTGTGTTTCGCTACCAACTTCGAACCGCCACGACGACATCGAGAAATATTAGACGCTGTAATCGTCGAGTCGAGTCGAAATACTCTGGGATGTATTCGTAAGATTGTGTATCATCGAGAGAAGACATAGAATATCGCATAAAGAAATGAACCATAAGCATATGAGATGGCCTGGGAGCTCGGTTCGTTCATTGTCCTGACCTTTTTATGGCGGCCAATTTGGTGTGATCAATAATTAGTTAGCCAGTACCTAATAAGGGTCCCTGGTCACCTAAGCCGATATCATTTCAAGCGTCGCCGACTCTCCCTCGACATCCCCGATTTTGAAAGGAGATCAAACGACCATTAACTCTGCGACACAATATTTTATTGCGAGAGAGCATCGAAAAAGATTCCCGAAGCTTCCTGATTTACGCAGCGACTCGTGAAATAAGGCGGTGTCCGATACGCTGCATTTGGCGGTGGAACGGTGGCAGTCATAGGCTTGTGAGTCTAGCCAGGTTGTGGGAGGACTCCTGCATCTGCAGTTTGACGCATCAAAAATGCCATCCTCGCCGCATACTCCAAGACACTCTCGGAACTCGTCCGCCTTCGATAGCTTCTCAGGCTCGCCCCAAGCCCGAAGGCTCTCCAAGTCATCGGTGCAAGAACCTTCCACCCCGTTCCGAAACAGCTTCAATCAGCAGGATGCATCCGACTTGGGTGGAAACGGCATGGGCAATCTAGCTGATGAGCTTGCCGATGCCTTTTCTGACTCAGGAGACGAAGGGCAATATACAGATGGTGATGCCAACAGCGACATGTTTGGACCTGAAAGGGACGGGCAGATCGATGATCAGATCGACGAGATCGGAGATACCGAGGACACCAGCAGTCCAAAAAAGCAAGGAAGTGATCGGGCCAAGGCTATGGATCTCACACTTCTATCACCTCGACGGAAACATCAGCGTCAAACTAGTAATTACGATGGTAGTGAATACGGATCGGAATCCGACCTGGACTCCCCTGGTATGCCACCTGGCTTGGTGTCCAAAATGGATGCTGTAGAGTCGTTGGCTCGAAGAGGAACAGAGAACTACGGCGGTCCAGCAGACGATGTGTTCAGGAGAGTGACGAACGCACTGCGGGATCTCGGCTCCCAGTCAAGTGTTGAAGCTAGCGCTTCAAGGTATGTAGATGCGATGTCGCTTTTGATACACTGAGACTAACATAGATCACAGGTTGATAACGGCACACTCAGCATTGACGACACATCTGAATCACCAAGCTCGCCAGATCCATAACCTATCATTCTCTTTGCTGTCTCCTCTTGTCGCACCACCGGACCCAGAGACTATTGACGACTTGATACCGTTGCTCCTAAACCTCTCTGATACCATGCCACGGCCGTCCACATCGGCCTTCAACTCTTTAACAAGCCTCCACACCCTAACCACCGAGCTTGTCCAAAACCTCAACTATCTCTCTGACACACTACACATGTCTCGCCAGACAACGACAATGGCGACAAGAAGGCTGAAGAGTGCAAAGGAGATTGTGGCTGAGATGAGGAGGGAAGAGGAGCTTAGAGAGGAGGGCGAGCGATGGCTTACAAGGGGCAATTGGGGAGAACGTCTGGAGAAGAGAGAATGCGCAGGAGTGTGCGGAGAGGTAATTGGCGGATTCGAGGAGGTCTGCAATGGATGGCGAGAGAGACTGCTCGCGCAAGCAGAGGCCCAAGCATGAACAATGGAATGAGTCGAGTGCTCGTGTGCTAGTGGTGCGGGTCATACTCACATGCTGACCTTTCCAACATTTGGGACTTTATTTTGTTGCGCATACATATATATCCCTGACTGACTGACATCATTCTTTTTCCTTTTCTTTTACCCCTTGAAAACGCCATCCCATATTTTCTTTGTTCAATTTCACAATTTTCAGGGTGGCTTGACCGTGCTTGGAAGGATCAAGGCGCAGCAAGGTATAGAGGGAGTTCTCTAATTGGGAGACTGGCCTCAACATGATAGAACAATTCTTTAGAGGAATCGTCAAAGAACGAACAATAGAATGAAGTGATGACCCAAGGTTCCCATAACCGTAAGTTGCAGGATATCTGACCTCGAAGTGTTGGAGATTTCAGCTTCCAGTCGCGTGTACAAGAACATTCATGATAGCGTATAGCGCGAACTGTTGTTATTATTTACCACAGCTTGTTTCCACCAGAATCGGCATCTGTTTGTGGAGTGGAGTTTAGAGGCCATCCGAGCGGCCACAGGCGAGTATTCATGACCTTCCTGCGACCCATCATCTGGCCAAAACATTCCACTGGAATTCAGGTGGGGGAAGAAGAAAAAAGGGGACAAGAGGGGAAAAGAACGACGCGGTTTAGACGCGTTGAGTGGCGTGTCGTCGCGGATTAACGCGAACCGTGTCAACAGTATTCCTCATTCGTTATAGCACTGTAGACAGCACCAGGCGCCTATTGGACGCTGACACGCTGGTTGTCTGAGAGGCCACAGACAAAGGACACAAACAAGCAATGCAATCGATGACAATTCAGAGCCAACCAATTGACTTGAGTCTCGAAGGCTGGGGCAGAGATATCGCGCTACATACGCGCGTGTTACGTTCAGCTGCGAACCAATCACTGAATGAACTACATTTGTTCAAGATCACTGATACCTAGGGATATGTCGATATATAAATGCTAAAATGAGTAAAGCATGTCGTTCTCGTCATCTGTGATCGCCGAATGATGAGGTTTGAACTAACTAGCTGCGGAACGTCCCGCTTGTTTGTTATACCTTAGCTTGTAGACTGCTCCGAGGCCGGATCCAAAAATATTGATTTTCTGCATACAAACAAAATAATAACAATTGACTGTCTCACATCCAGACAACAGGCCCTACAAATATATGTATATTGCTAGGAATCAGCCTCATTCAATTAGCCTCAATCTTCATTGCTCTCCCACTTGTTATGTCTCGCACCCTTCTCGTTGCATTGCCTGCGTGCATGTTGTTGTTTTGTATGCGTGTAAGTCATGCATAAGGTGTAGGTGCTCTCTGATGAAATTCAATATATGCAAATCTTCTTGTGTGTTTTTGTTAGCCTGACAGACTAGTAGTCTCAATTTCAATTATTAGTATGGCGGTTGTGAAATAATCATAGGTAGTTAACAACCTATCTCTTGGTGTTTACATAGGTCGAAATTGAATACACAGCATTGTTTGGTGATCCAATGCTTTCTTCCAGAGCCAATGCCTCTTCTTCTCTCAGCCGTTGAGAATAACGCAGCAGCTGACACCAAAGGCAGACAGATGCCGTGCCATGTGCTCGCCGGCACCAACCGAATACCCGGATTGCCTGTGTTGGTAAGTAAGGTACTAGGTATCATGAATCAAGACGGGAGGGACCTCCTGATATGGAAGAGAGGGGGGACAATATAGTTTCAACGGTCTCAAGCAAGAGAGGAATGGAAAGAACAATTGAGAATCAATGAGTTCGATTAAGGAATAAGAATACTGTCTATACGAACAATGATCGTCCACTCAATCGCGTGTCATTATGTCAAGTCTATTGCTCCTCTCGTTCAATAACAGAATCACGGTTCTTTTGCTATTATTTTGGTTGTTGTTATTGACCCGCGCGTTTCCTGGTCGTCCGCGGTCCCTCCTTGTCAAGTCCGTCCGGGGGGGCGCAGGGGGTTTGGTACCGATGTTTGAGCTGTCTGATTGGCCACGCGCTTTCTAGCGCGCCATGAGAGCCCCAGTTCAACCTCCCTCCAGCAGCAACAAGCAACATCCCTCACGAGAGCTGCGACCCTCTTCCCGCCACCCCTAGTGCATTTCTGCCCAGCACTGGACATTACCGCACCCGCCCGCTTCAACCTCCGTCCTCCACTACTGCTGGCTCTGGCCGACTTGGATCTTGCACCTCACGCCTGATATCGTCAACTATCGCGTCGTGCATCATCACAAGTTTTCCTTTTTCACTTTCTTCAAGTCGACGGTCACCAGTCTCTTCAACATACTATTACTTTTATCGATTAAGCACGAGCTCGCCTCACTAACGTCATCGACTATTGTGATCAACCTTTCCAGTTAGGTTGCTGTCTGGGGTTCTGCGAGAATATCGGGACGATGCGATAAACGCCTTACGACGAACAAAGATTGATAATAGCTGGACGGTGCTTGGGACTGCGCCCTCGCCGTCTCGCCTCGACTCTCTTTTTATACTCATCGCTTGACCAATATCAATCAAACGACGCTCTTACGACTGCCTCGCAATCTTCATCTTCATACGCGCCGTCACCATCGCCTGCTACAACGACCTTTCAACACATTGACTGCAAACTGTATTGCCGATACGACAATCATGGCGGCACTACCAGAAGCCGCAGGCATGGCTGCCTTGAATCATCAATCAGCAAAGCGAGCTATCGACGAATCCAAGAGCCATACCGCCACTCCTCGCTCATCCACACCTCCCCGCTCAGATCGCGCCCGTTTAGAGCCCAGACATAGCCTTGATAACGCACCAAGCCGTGCTCTCCGCAGCAACGCAAGAAAAAGCGAAGGCGCCCGCGCGAGTCCTTTCGACATCGATGCCGTCGACAGTGCGCTGCTCCGAGAGTTTCAACGTCCGCAACGTGAGAGCACTCCAGGTGCTAGCCCTCATCGTAAGCGGCAGCGAATAAATGGCGATCGGTTTGTTGACCCCTTGCTTTCACCGCTGCATATACTCATCGTCCTGCAGATTCATTCCGACCCGCTCTGGCCAGGACCTGCAGGCAAGCTTCAGTCTATTGCATGAGGATGGATCTCCTGCCACACCATCAAAACAAAAGAAACGTACACCACATGGCGAACTCCATTTTCAGAAGAGTATGTTGAACCCTGAGCACCCTATCTAATTCAGACATTGACATGCATTTCCAGCGGAAGAAGCAAACCGGACCTTCTCCCACCTGCTACGTGCTGAGCTCTTCGAGAGCTCTGTACCACAAGCAGCTACCCCAACCCTCACCCCAACTCAAACCCTTCCTACAAGCTCTCATATTCCCGCGAATGATGGCACGCGGGCTCATACCCCTCCCACAAATGCGACAGCTCCATCACTGCCATCATCATTAACACCGTCAACTCCTCACAAGAATCTCTTCTCCTATATGTCACCTCGACATCACAACCAGGTCGCAGGGCATCCCACACCCTCAAAAACACCGCAAAGCCGACATGGCCCCAACCTCGATACTCGGGCTGAGATCTACAGCTTATCGCCAGTGCGATTTGGAAGTCAACAGATGCTACTAAGTCCCAGACGCCAACCCAGAGCTGTCAGTAAGGTTCCTTACAAGGTTCTCGATGCTCCCGAACTCGCCGATGACTTTTACCTTAACCTGGTTGACTGGGGGAGTGCCAACATTCTTGGAGTTGGCCTGGGCTCCAGTGTGTACATGTGGAATGCACAAACTAGCAAAGTCAACAAGCTCTGCACACTCGATGATGACACTGTCACAAGCGTTTCGTGGATTCAAAAAGGCACGCACCTTGCTATAGGAACGGGCAAAGGCCTCGTACAAATCTGGGACGCGGAAAAGGCCCGCAGGCTACGAACAATGACCGGACACACAGCGAGAGTAGGGTCCCTAGCTTGGAATACGCACATTCTCACATCTGGATCACGCGATCGATTGATCTATCACCGTGACGTACGGGCCCCGGATCAGTGGCTGAGGAAACTGGTCGGCCATAAACAGGAGGTCTGTGGACTCAAATGGAATTGCGAAGACGGTCAACTAGCGAGTGGTGGCAATGACAACAAGCTCATGGTCTGGGATAAGCTCTCGGAGACACCGCTTTGGAAGTTCTCAGATCACACCGCAGCCGTCAAAGCAATATCGTGGTCGCCCCATCAACGCGGCCTTCTGGCCTCAGGAGGTGGCACTGCGGACCGTCGCATAATATTCCATGACACCGTCAAGGGCTCAGTCATCAACGAGATCGATACTGGCAGTCAGGTTTGCAATATTGCTTGGTCGAAAAACTCGAATGAGATCGTATCCACGCATGGATACAGCCAAAATCAGATTGTTGTTTGGAAGTATCCTTCTATGACCCAGGTGGCCAGTCTTACAGGCCATACCTATCGTGTGCTTTACTTGGCTATGAGCCCAGATGGCCGAACAATCGTGACTGGCGCTGGAGATGAGACCTTGAGGTTCTGGTCCACCTTCGGCCGCAGACCTGGGACTCGAGAAGACGGAGATAATGGAGGTCGGCTCGCCGACTTGGCCGTTATTCGCTAAATACTCCAGCTGATGGCGATCAGAGGTTACCTTGCATTATTTTTTACGAGTTGTTCAGAAGCGTTTCGATATATTCCCTCTAGACTATGACCATATACCACATGGAATGCGCGTTTTTACTACAGGCACGGTGCAAAGAGTTTCAGGAACTCTTGAAAGTCGCATATTGTGCGCTACAATTCATACCCCCAAGGCTATTGCATTATGCATTTATTGGCGTTGTATCAGGACTCGGTGCTTCACTGGGCTATGGATGGCGGGTGTTGGTAGGATTGCTTTACTGGTTTTTGGGATTTGGGGGTTTGTGACGGATCATGACACCCCATTTGGATGACAGGATGGGTTTGACAATGGAAAGGGGCGCCACTTTGCCTTTCGGGCGGGCAAAGCGAGCAAGCTGGCGAGCTATAGCGATTGTGTTTTCTGTTCATTTTGGCCATTCGGTTCGCATAGCGCAACGGATTGCCTGGCGGCAAGGTAAATAGATGCCTGATGAATCTGACGGGGCAAACTTCCCCATTCAAGTTCAACAACAAGACTTCCCAAAATTGTGGTGATACGTCGTGATCAAGTGTAATAAGTTATGATAGAGTGCACATATTAACGCCGACACTGATATGCAACTCACGAGGGCTGTCATAGTAACACAGTAGTTGGGGGGTATTCATAAGTAGTATCTTGAGTAAAATTAATTGACTGGTAAATGTCCATTGAGCGCTAAATAACATCGCATTCCTTGATTATCACAAACCATTGGTGGGAAAAGTGAAAAAGAACCTCATCACATAAGTCATGCCACTAACAAAGCATTTATGACTGTATGCTTCTCAGTTCATCGACCAAGTTCAACGTGTTCGCCTGCCTCGTGTTGTGTCACCTGAATTCCCAGCAACTCCAGTGGCAGAAGAGCTTCGTGTTTCATCTAACAGAGGGATCTTATCCACACTAACAGGTCGGTTAACATCATCCTTAGACAGAGATGTTCCCTCCATCAAGTCTTTCTCTCGATTAACCTCATTCATGGACGGAATCTGGCCAGTAGATGCTGAGGGAGCCGCTCCTTGGCGAGGGGCAGAGGATGCTTCGGGTCGGGGATCCAGCGGAGGCGATAGTGGCATGTGTTCGGGTGAGTTTTGCCATTGAGCCACCTCAGCCTTCATAGCCTCCAGCTCTTTCTGGAAGCGCACCCCAAATACATCGATATAATACGTGGCGCCATTATAAATACTCCAAGTGAAGACCACCATAAGGAAGCCTGCAGAAGCCCAGCGGCTTAGAAACCATAAGGGGCAAGGGAGCATAGTCAGAAGAGCATATGAATACTGAATCATCATAAATGTTGCTTCTTGCATGTGCTCTGGTTGTCGGAGGACAAACTTTCCCAGCCAGGTTTTGGCGTATGATCTCTTGAGCCAAGTAAACGAGGTTGGGCGACCAGCCGCAATCTTGTCTCTTCGGCGCACAGTGATGAAGATGTAGTACAAGAGTTGCCAGAAAATATAAGGGAGGGAACTCCAAGCAAGCATCGAGACTACATTGGCATACGCTGTTGGCGAGCCTGGGGGGGACGTCTTGATGGTCCAAATTGCGGGGAAGCGTTCTTTCTGCTTATCAGGAGAAAACAGGTGAACGATGCAATGCAAAGTCGCACATGGCATGATGTGAATGAATAATGAGGTAACTTTGTCAAAACTGTGGAAGACAAGTGAATTACGCCACATGATAATGGCAACTGCGTTGTTACCAAAAGCCAGGCAGTATGAGGCGGTGAAGAGACGCTTGGAGCCGGGAAAGATCCATATCGAGAGAGCCAGTAGCAGGTTGGTGAAGTAGCAGAGGTCTGCGAGGAAGTAGTGGTAGCCACGCCGATGATACGTGAAGAATCGAATCGGCATGAAATACAGGAGTTGCACTGTATACCACAAATGAAAGTACTCTGGGTATGCGCCAATGAGGTATCCGCTGACGAAGATGTTCATAACACCAAAGATAAAGGACACCTTTTCTCTGGCACTGATAACCTTTGTATCGTTCCATCGTTTCCCCAGCTTATCGACACGGCGTTGCATCTGTTTGCGGTACCGATCGAGCTGTTCATCAGCCTCAGGGACTCGACGTCTCCACTCCTCAACCATGCGATCCCGAGCAGATTGTGTCTTGGTCTTGATTGCCTCTCTGGAACGCCTGACCTTGTCCGTCTGCGCGGAGATGCCCTTTTGTAGCTTCTCGAGCTGCTGGGGAAGAGCGAAGTTATCGAGAAGGTCAAGTACAGATAGGCGATCTAGAGGTGGAAGACCGTCCCAGTCCTCATGGTTGGAACTGCTACCAGAAAAGGACGGATTTCTTGAGTGCATCGAGCCTCTGGGCGTGGTCGCACCCAGCATTGGAGTGTCAAGAAGGGCGGAGTCGGCAGGCGGATTGTTCGGAGAGGAAGGAGCTTCGTGATCAGGTGTAAGGATGATCTCGCTATCGGTTGAGATATTGTCGGATTTGAGGCCTTGGGCAGTACCCGAGGCTCCCTTTGTATCGTCATCCATGACTTGGGCGTATCCTTCCTGTCCGATTTCACGTGCTGAGAGCGATGTCTAAGTGGTTGGTTTCGACTTGGGAAGAAATGTATGTTAGCTGGGCAATATAGAATGAGAGTCAAGGCAGTGCTCGCCCAAGAGGGAATACTCACGACGAAGAGGAAGCGTGGCCAAAGCAGTATGGGTAAAGAGTACCTAGTGCAAGGGAGCGCGACACAAATACTTATATAGGACCCTGAGACAAGCTCTGTTTAGCGGACAGGGAGTAGCTAGCGGATCATGTCACTTGGACCTGGAACAAGGGGTCGGGTGATTCGAGAAGCAGATAATAAAAGGGTATTCAGGCTGAAGATAAGCCAAGGCAAGACAAGACAAGACAGACTCGAGCTAAATCGGGAGTGATAAGGTGAAGTGGAAGAGAGGTCGAGTCGAGGTGAAACCAAGGGAGACACCAGCGGTGACGAAGCATACACGTGGGATAGAATGTGATGCGAAGCAGGCAAGACCACCAACACAAACAGCTCACCCATTCATTCAGCCAGAGCTGGATGGACCCCGGAACCGATGATGAAATGTATAGGTAACTAAAATGACTGGGCTGAAAGCTTGCTTGTTGGGGAAGTGGAGCCAGTTGCACATGCACTTACGCTAAGAACAAGAGTGCATGTTCATATCTCAAAGTACTATACGGAGTAGCTAAGGGAGTAATAAAGAACTGTTAAATGAAAGAAATAGTAAAAAGGAAATACAAACTATATGGGTTCTCTTCTCGAGCTTTTGGAAGGTTGAAAAGGGAAGGTCAGGTTAGAATAGTATAAACTATCACAGTCAAAGAGACCTTATTCCCTGAACCACGAGGGGTAGTACGGATACGCCACCCAAGTCGACGATCCGCCCCAGATACCTATTAAAATAGCGTCCATCAAACAAGCATTTTGCCTACAGTAAAGATCTCCCTCCTACTGCCGTGCGACTTGGTAAGTTGTTGCATCATGCACCTTCTTCCAACTTACAAGGGTAGGCACTAAAACAACAGATATACCCAGTATCCCTGTGTCATGTAGACTAATGGCCTTCCAAGATGTGGCTGTTCGACTCTGTACGGCATATGGTACTTCTCCTTGACCTTTACAGAGTCTCGAGTCCCAAGGTAATCATGTGGATCTATTCATCCTTTGTTTCGACGTTGCGTGGTGATTTCTCGGAACCTGGTTGGCTATAGATTAATACTAGACCACATACCACATTACATTATCCTAGTCTCAGCCTGCCTATCTGTCCTGATTCATCACCTGGTACGTGTCGCTAGTGTCTGATGGAAGCATTTGACCTGGTGAACAATATAGACAGTACCAGAAGGTTTCATCTCGAAGCACTATATTAAGATTGCATGCCTGAGGCAACAAGGCGTCGCTTCCTCTTTCGAAACGGTAGAGTCTCGTTTGATTGGTCCGAATTAAGGTCCCGCATCTGCAATTGCTAGACTCAAGTACAATACCAGGACCTACTCCAAACTCAAGCCGAGTCGCGCGACGCGTTACCCATCATTTCAACTTCCCTAGCACGCGAAGAGACTTGATTGTCTGTCACTTATTCTCGTAATCGATAATGCATGTTATTAGTTGCAGTTTGTCAGATTTCGCAACATAACTCGACTTCTGTTGCGCACAACATTCGCGCGCTTCTGATTCCGGTTTTATTCTTTTGCGCGATTCGTTGGCACAATTCGAGCCACGGCCACCACTCTGACGCGCCCTCACTCAACAGCACGAGTTGAACTCAGAACCAGGCGTACCCCTCTAATTTACCTTAGCATCGCATTCTCTCGTCTCGACTACACGCCTTCCACTCTCTCTTCATAGATACCCGGCCGTACTGCCACACGACCTCATCATGGGCAAACTAATTCGTCTGGAGTTATTCAGTGTGTTTTTCTTCACGCGTAATCTCGGACGAGATGAACGGCATTCGAACTAACCTGCGCTACAGACTTCAAATCGTACAAAGGGCATCATGTTCTTCTCTTTGGAGATTCATACTTTACCTCTATCATTGGACCCAATGGATCCGGCAAGTCCAACTCGTATGCCGCTTCTCCCGCTTTCCATTGAGCCTCTCTAACATGGTTCTAGCATGGACGCCATCTCTTTCGTCCTGGGTATCAAATCCTCACACCTACGTTCCGCCCACCTTAAGGACCTTGTTTACCGCGGACGAGTTCTAAAAACGGCCAAGATCAACGATGATGGTTCTGCGCAGACCAACGGCGACGCAAACGGTGACGCTGATGGTAACGATAAAGCCTCCCGTGGTGACCCCAAAACGGCCTGGGTCATGGCTGTGTACGAAGACGATGCTGGCGAGGAGCAGAAATGGAAGCGCTCCATCACGAACCAAGGTGCCAGCGAGTACCGAATCAACGATCGTGTCGTCACAGCCCAGCAATATAATGAGTCTCTTGAGAGCGAGAACATTCTTATCAAGGCACGAAATTTTCTTGTATTCCAAGGAGATGTCGAGGCCATTGCTTCACAGTCCCCTCAGGATCTCACGCGCCTGATCGAGCAGATCTCTGGAAGTCTTGAGTACAAAGCAGAATATGAGAGGACACAGGCCGAGGCCGAACAGGCTGCTGAGAACCAGAACTTTCAGCTTCATCGACGACGTGGCATCAACTCGGAAATCAAGCAATACAGGGAACAGAAAAAGGAAGCAGACAACTTTCAGAACAAGACTGACGAGCGCGATGCGGCAATAGTTACACATAGTTTGTGGAAGCTATATCATTTCCAGAAAGCCATGGAGGATTCGTTTGCCGCTATTCAGGATCACCAAGAAAACCTCAAAGAACTGCGCCGTAACGTGGAATCGTTTGAGAAGAGGCTTGAAGCGGCTAGGAGGGAACAGGCTGCCGCTAACAGGCAAGTCGCCCGTTTAGACAAGGAGATCAAGGCCAAAGAAAGAGATATCGAGGACAAAGAGAACAGTCTCGTTCCCATCGAGGAAAAGATAAACGAATCCACGCAGGCTGTTGAAACACTTCAGGCCGCGATCGCCAAGGCCACCAAGGAACGTGACGAGCAGGCCGAGGTTGTTCTCCAGGTCCAGAAGGATATTGAAAGTGTGGAGAAGGCCCGACAAGTCTTCGAGAACGACTACAAAGAACAAATGAAGAAACAAGGCCGCGAGATCAGCGATGAGGATCGTCGAGAGTACAACAGATTGCGCGCTCAGCTCATGTCCAGGACCGGTTCCAATCAGGCCAAGCTTGAGAACCTTGACCGGCAGCGCAAAGCAGATGAAGTCACCGTCAACAATCTGAAAGGCAAAGTCGACAGCATTGCGGCAAGCATCGAAAAGATTGAGGCAGAATTGTTGAGCATCGAGGAACGCAGATCCGCCGCGCAGGCAACCTCTAAAGACCTCTCGCAAGAGATTGAAGCCAAAAAGAAGGAGTTCAATCAACTCCAATCAGAACGCGTCAGGACCAACCAGAAGCGAACCGAGCTTGAGGAGAAGCTCGAAGATGTCGCTAGAAAGCTCAGAGAGGCTGATGATGGTCGGCGCCAGAACGATAGGGAGGCCAGGCTGAAAGAGATGGTGACCTCCTTGAAACGCATGTTTCCGGGTGTCCGTGGTCGAATTGGCGACCTGTGCAAACCCAAGCAGAAAAAGTTTGATGAAGCTGTCGGTGTGGCACTCGGAAGAGACTTCGACGCTGTCGTTGTCGATTCCGAGAAAATTGGTGTCGAATGTGTCCAATACCTCAAGGAACAAAGATTTCAGCCCATGACTTTCATCCCTCTGGACAACATCAAGGTCAACGCAGTCAACACTGCCGTCAAGGGGTTTTCTGGCGCTCGGCTGACGATTGATACCATCGACTTTGATTCTAGCGTTGAGCGTGCCATGTCGTATGCATGTGGAAGCTCTGTTGTGTGTGACACTCTTGATATTGCCAAGCACATTTGTTACGAAAAAAAGATCCCCGTCAAAGCTGTGACGCTGGAAGGCTACATCATTCACAAAGCAGGTCTGATGACAGGTGGCCGTGGACCCGAGTCGAAGAGTAAGAGACGTTTCGAGGAGGCAGATGTTCAGAATCTCCAGCGAATGGCCACCAAGCTTAAGGACGAGATTGATCGACTGCCCAAGGCTGACCGCCGGGGCTCACAAGAAGAAACGCTTCAGATTGACCTGTCCGGGCTCGAAAGGCGATTGGCAGCCATCAAAGACGAATTGACAGCCTTCAACAAGAACCATGCCAGCAAGAAACGCGAGCTGGACAACCAAAGGAGGCAACTTCGAGAGCTCGAGCCCAAATACCAAGAACAGGCTTCACAGCTTGAAACCACCACTGCCACGTGCGAAGAGTTTCGTAATGCTATCGCACGAGTTGAAGATGAAGTATTTGCAGATTTCTGCAGACGACTCGGTTACAGCGATATTCGCAGCTACCGAGACTCGCAAGGCAAGTTGGAGCAGGAGGTCTCTGAAAAGCGCAATGAATTCGAAGTTCAAAAGCAAAAACTGTCAAGTCGACTCCAATGGGAGCAGCAGCGTTACGAGACTGCCACTTCGCGAATCGAGCGGAACCAAGCCCATGTTCGAAAGCTCAGAAACGATATCAAGTCCTATGTAAGAGAGAAGGATGCGATTGAGAACGCGATGCGCAAGGAGCAAGAAGAGTTAGAAAACCTTCGCGAGGCACTAGACGAGAACAAGTCAGAGCTCGCCGAAAAGAACCAGAAGGTGGCAGAGGCCAAGCTCGAAGTACAAAAGCGTTCAAAGGACATCGAAGCACATCTGAAAGAGATCAACTCACTTGAAACCGTAGTCCAGAAGAACAGCGCCAGCAAAGCGGCATTACTTCGACGATGCCGACTAGAGCAGATTCGCATTCCGCTTGCAGGGGGCACATTAGAGAACCTACCCAACGACGACCGTCTGCTGAACCAGGACCCAGATGCCATGGACATAGATGATGAGGATGATGATGAGGAGATGATGGGCATGGCACTCGATGATCACGGAATTACCATTGACTTTAGTGGACTTGATGAAGAACTTAAAGCTGTAGGTACTATCCTTTTGAAGTCAGTGATGTCGCTAACACTATGCAGTCGGATGACCCGAGCGTTGAAGAAAGTCTATCAGAGAAAATTACGAATTTGACTTCGGAGCTCGAGAAGCTGAACCCCAACATGCGAGCAATGGAAAGGTTAGAAAGCGTTGAGTCCCGACTGAGAGTCACAGATCAAGAGTATGAAGACTCAAAAACAGCGGCACACGAGGCCAAAGAGGTCTTCAATGAGGTCAAGCAAAAAAGATATGACCTCTTTAACAAAGCCTTCAGTCATATTCAGGAGCAAATATCTCATGTATACAAGGACCTCACCCGGTCAGAAGCATACCCTCTCGGTGGTCAGGCCTATCTGGACATCGAGGAAGACACGGACATGCCCTATCTGTCTGGCATCAAGTACCATGCCATGCCGCCTCTGAAGCGTTTCAGAGATATGGAGCACTTGTCTGGAGGCGAAAAGACAATGGCAGCACTAGCACTTCTGTTTGCCATCCACAGCTACCAACCCAGTCCCTTCTTTGTTCTTGACGAAGTGGACGCCGCTTTGGACAATGCCAACGTGGACAAGATCAAGAAGTACATCAAGGACCACCGTGGTCCCGGTATGCAATTCATTGTGATCAGTCTCAAGGCAGGTCTATTCCAAGACAGTGACAGTCTGGTGGGTGTTTATCGAGACCAGGAGGTCAATAGTTCAAGAACCCTTACTCTAGATGTGAGTTTCCCCATACTACTGGCTCGACGATCTCCGACTAACATTGAACAGTTGCGACAATATGTGTAAGTGAGGCTAGAGCAGTTAGACTCTTTGTGATTATTCCTCTCGGATCTAAGGGGAAAGTTGGGTGTCTGGCGCACGTCATCGTGGAAGAGGCATGGAATTTCGTATGGGTTAATGAATTCATTACATCATTCAACACCGCAACACTGACTAGGGCATATGAATATTGCAGGCCTCATGATATAACGTGATGAATCTATCCATTCAAGGTGTATGATTGTCATTATCTCAGACTTTGTGACTGCCACTGGACAGATTTCTGTTGAACGAACATAGAAGCAATCAAAGGTCCTACTTTTTGCTGATACCCGATTGGCTTGGCGTCAGTGCATTGCTCTGTATGTAGTATCAGATGAATGTGGCTATTCAGGTATCTCAAAGAAGTGTCCATGCTAGAATGATAGCTCTACATCAGCAACTAACTTGTACTCCTTGCAACACTACCTATTTCAATCCGTATCGAGACCATGTAGCCTAAGAAGCTTCATTACTAATATCGCCGTCTGAATTCTCTTCGTTAACTTAAGATTATCAATAAATACTTCTTAGGCAGGCTGCCTTCACTCTTCTCTTGGTTGCCTGGAGTTGATAACCGATTCTGATTACGTCATCACACCTTTAATTCATACCCCTGCACTTGATATTCGCGACCACATTCTCGCATTGAACCAACATCATCATGGATCTCGCAATCACACTTATCAAGTCCGTTGCGCGGGCGTTCTATGAAACCCGCGACATACTTGTGATTGATGCGCTCATACTGCATGAAGCGTAAGTATAACTATCATGCTTCTGCGCTTGAAAAGTACTCGCTAACCACAGTGTCTTGCCAGGCTTCGAGACGATGATTTGGCCTACTTGATGTCTACCAACACAAAGGAGCTTCACAAGATCTGCGGAAAGCTACGCGAGGATCGATTCTTGGTGGTGTATGTGAAAATGATCCTTGCTGAATAGCGCTTGACTGACTGGACCCTGCGCAGACACACACGATCAGAGCTGCGAGAAGGCAACCCGAGACCGAGCAACAAAACATGGTATTACATCGACTACCGAGCCACAATAGACGCCATCAAATGGCGCGTTTACACTATCGATAAAGAAGTACAGGGTACTACACAAGTCGCGAGCGAGAAAAAGGAGTACTTTTGCTCATTTTGCAAAGCAGAATGGACGGCGATGGAGGTCCTGGACAACGTGGGCCCGGAAGGGTTTTTATGCCATCGTTGCTCCCATGTTCTGACTTTCGAGGCCGATCGGACATCGACTGGGCACGAGCAGTCAACGCGACTCAACGACCAGTTCAAATTCATAAGTGAACTGCTTCCCAAAATCGATGCAGTTCACATTCCCGAATGCGATTTCGATCGCGCATTTGCTAAAGCCCGCCCAGTGAAGCGCGACGAAACACATCAGCGCGCTCAGACTGTTGCAGCCGACTCTGGCGCGAACCGACCGATGGCGGTCAAGGGTTTGACCAACACAGGGCCACAATCGATTGCAGTTAACATCTCAACATCTGACGGTCCTACGGAAGCCGAGAAGGCAGCAGAGCAGGCGCGCAAGGAGCAGATTGCGAAGCAAAATGCGCTACCGGCATGGATGTCCAACAGTACTGTCACTGGAGAGTCCTTCTCAGCAAGCGCTACTCCTGGCACTGCATCCGTTGTCAAGAAGGAGTCCAGCAAAGATGCAGGCCCAGCAGCACCAGCCGTGGCTAATGCTCAAATAGACGACATATTCGAGAAGCTCAAGGCGGAGATAGCACAAGAAAAATCAGAGGACGAAGAGGACGACGAAGAAGAGGAAGACTTATTCGAAGATGTCCCTGCTGCCAAGAAAGTGAAATTGGCTGGACCAGATCCTCAAGAACAAAAAGAAGACGAAGACAGCGAAGAGATAGAGTTCGAAGATGTTTAGAAAACATAAGTTTGTCTATGGTTAGACTACCTATTCTTGTACATAAATAGCCCCTCTATCATCTAATATTCTAATTCCAATTCCTCTGTCTAACCTAACCAAGCCCGGCCATGCTTTTGAAAAAAGGCCAGTGCGGTGCCCGAGGTATCAAAGCACATATTTGAACGCCCCGTTGTATGCTGGAAGAAAAAGGTCGCTTTCATGATGTTTACACCTGTCCCAAATAAAACCCAAGTCGTTCATTTCCAGTTTTCCAATACTGCACATCACGCAGTTTCTACGCCGCGTCGCATCTCAAGTTGAGATGTCTTACATGTTCGTGGCAACTTGGCCAACGGTATTTCGGTGTCATCGAGAGACGAGCATGAAATCTCAGACATGCTACGCTTTAGGCCTGTCAAGGCTCCAACGATATTGCCGGCGGGTGGTGACTCGTCACCTTCATCGCCGTGATGATCTCTGGACGATGGGTCTTGTTCCTCCTTTTTGTCGAGCACGCTATCGCGCTCCCATGCGGACTCTAGTCCATCCAGATAGACTGGGGACCGCTTCAGAAAGTTCCATGACAAAGAGTCGTGCTCCATTGCAATATATAGCGAGTCCATCTTACCACTAGCATCCAGTACGGCGCAGTGCTGCTTGAGGAATGCGCGGTCATACTGACCATGGACAAGCCTGGGCTCCAGGGGTCGTAGCATTGGCAAGCCTTGTAGACGCTCAGCATCGCATAGCTTTGCTTGCAATGGAACCCATGGCCGTCCTTTTAGCAGAGGTTCAAATGCTCGTGATACAGCCTCTGTGACAGATTTGGCATCGTCTCCTTCCACTGCTAGCATACGGTGAAGTCCACGGGACAGACATCTCTTGTATGAGGTTGTATCCTTTTCAAATGGGAAGGGTGTGTCCTTGGAAGGCATCAATGACACATGCACTGTCCATGACCTTGGGCGATCAGTTGGAGCGGTAGGTTTTGTCGATAAGCTGTGTGCTGGGCTCAACTGCAGCTGTGAGGGTACAGTGGTTGTGGGCGAGAGATGAAGGGTGTTCACGGTGGCATCGCTTGGATCGGGGTCTTGGGGAGGTGACAATAGAGGCTCGGCGCTCTCTAACTTTTCGATCCTTTCTTCCAAGCATTCGTCGCTGTCTAGCAGCTCAAGTTGGCGATTGCGCAAATCGTCAACTTCGCTTCCTGTCCTTGCCAGCTGTTCACCTTGTGATCGAAGGGTTTGTTCCAAGCTTTTAACGTGTTGCTGCAATTGTGTAACAAGCGCCCATGCAGCAGATGCGTTGCGATATGAGCCTTTAAGTTCAGTATCGGTTTCGTCCTTGTTCTTCTCGACCGCCTCTTCCAACACGCTGATGCGGCGAACAACATGGGAAAGTCGATCACGGTCTTGTGGGTTCGAGAGTTCTTCCAGGGCTCGTACTCGCTGTTGAATAGCATCGATCTCGGACTTGTTAGTGCTTGGTGTGGGGGTATCGGCATTGGCGACGTGAAAGCAGGATAGATGTCCACAGTTGCAGGTGGCACCTGGTAAAGATTTGTTGTGGTCGAACCCCACACAGCCGCACCGCTGACCCTTGAGCTCAGGTATCATGAGAATATAGCGACATTGACCCTTTGGCAACTGAGACTCGTCGGGCTGCGGCGTCGAGGCCGGTGGGGGAGAGCGAGATGGTGAGGGTGACATTAAGTTGCGTCAAACCAAGGTATCGAAGAGAGGAATCGAGGTTGAGATAGGTCGTCCATGGAAATGTCGGTGGCAGTAGGAGCCTGATATGGATGGAATGGGTACGGGTAGTCTTTTAGATATGAGAGATGGAGCACGGAAGAAGAAAACAACCTGTAGGTACAGTATACTGTAGGGCAAAAGACAAGGTAAAAGGTAGGCAAGGTTGGCGGGCGGCTCTAATCATAAAGCAGGGCGATGTCGAGATTTGAACCCCCAGGGATGTTGGGGTTGTGTGATTCCGTCTGGCCGCGTTAGGACGGTACCTATGTCCAGGCGGGAGTACCTGAAAGCAGTGGCATAATACACGTGAGAGGCTGTAGCCTGTTAACGGTTCGTAGGTATCTAGGGTCCGCTTTTGAGACGTTATCATCCGCTCTAGTCTCGCCATCAACACAACCCACGAATCTTAGACCGGCTGCGCCCGCAGGCCGGCTGATGGCATCACAAACTCCCACGTTGAAGACCCGCAGGTGGTCATGGCACCACAAGCCGACGATTATAGACAGTGGGGGTTAGCCGTGGCTAACTGCTGAGGTACATACCCAGTAACACCGAGAGGATAAAAGCAGAGATTGCCCAGGGCCACGACCATATGACCACGATCAACAATATACTCTATAGTCATGGAACGCGGTGAGAACAATCACTCGCAACTTCAGTCCATTGCCAGAAGAAATCTAGGTCCACGCTAGACCACGGGGAACTCAGGGGATGCAGTAGAGTCCCAGCTAAGAGAAGATAGCGCCGTTATCTTGTTGGTCTGTTGTCAAGTTCAATCTATTCGTTGCAACCTGTGTAGAGTCTGCAGTGTCGTTTGGTTACCTGGCGCAAGGCGCGCTGTTTTCTTCTCTTCTCTTCTCTTGGGGACCCCCTGGACCCATGAGAAGATATCCCACATCAGAGTCCGATTGATAAACAAATGTCTCAACTCTGACATGAAAAGCTTGGCTGCTCGTGCCGCACCCTTTTTCAAGCTCCCATTGGCCCTTGATGCTTTGTCCCTGAAGCCGTCGAGTTGATCAAGGAGACTATCAAGACACAGAAGTCAAGTTGGAGGGCGGCCACGCGATCTGTAACGGGCGGGCGCAAGAAATCAAGAGTTGATATCAACCAGGGCCCTTGCGCAATGATTGTGATCGTGGCCGGAATCGCAATGGTGATTGATGGAAGCATCTGCATGGGGTCTCACAGATTAGCAGACCTTCTCTGGCTGGTCCACCCCCACACCCTCTTTGTTGCCAAGCCTGCCACTTTCTTTGGACGGGAGTGACAAAATTTGACTCTTGGAGGTTAGGTAGTGTGTGGCTCTTCCCGCACCCGTACCCGTTTATTATGGTCCTTGTCCTTACTCAATCACTCTCCGGTCTGGCGGGCCCCGTTCCGTAACTACTACTGTAGCTAAACAGTAGCGGGAGGGACCTGATGCCAATGGACGGGAGGGCAAACCTGTCATTGGATTGGATAGCCCAAGTTAGTTGGTGTATCTCATGAGTTTTGTGTAGGTAAGTAGGTATCCATCAGGTACTTTACAAGAGGGAGCCCCCAAAGTGCGGTCGAGAGAAGTGAGATGCCCTTGGCTCGTTGCATAAGATCGCCTCTTCTCTGTGCCCCTGGTCCCAGATATCGGATGCATGTACTGTAGGTATAGAGGTCGTGCGTGGTGCGGTACGCCTTATCGGCGCCTATTGTTGATGCAAGGTTATCGACCAAGTTGCCCGCACGCATGTGATACCTCCCCAGGTCCTCATCAGAGGTTGGTTCCTTGCAAATCATAGCAATTCGTGTTTTCCTGCGTGCGTGCGTGCGTGCATGCGTGTGTGCAGTGCAGTCTGTGGCATGGATCTCCAAATTGAACATCAAGACCGGCTGGAACCGGCATACTAACGTTAGATTGTCCAAGACCGAACCCATCTTTGTTATGGGCCATCCCAAATTTATCGTCAATCCTGAGACGTAGCAATTGAGAACAGCCTGAACTGGAGGTACATATTATGTACGTAACGGCCATCAGGGTGGGTTGTGTGAAGTAGCAGTAGCAGAAGCAGAAGCCTTGACCCCTGGCTCTACCTTAGTTAGCAGTGGAGGATTTCTTCGCCCACGTGCAGGCAACTCCTTGCCACCTACGAACTACCAATGTATACCGATGGAGCAATCTTGGGCCTGTATGTTGCAAGCCGTGACTTTGAACAGCGACACAACGCACCTGGAATTGAGTTGTTATTTGTAAACAACCATGGGTAATTTCGGAACTGCAGTCAACTCCTTGTTAGGCACTTATACGAAGTGTCTGTCTCTTCTGAAAGGCTTCCCTAGGGATGAGGATGCGGGGACATTGAGTGAGACTCGCTCAACACTGAGCACCTCACTTCGATCTGACAGAGCTCGAGTGCGTCGAGAATATGCTTCGCGACTTTCACAAGATGGCTCTCGATTTGAAAAGGGCGATGGTGAGTCACTTCTATCTAAATTAGTTTCGTATAAAAATGCATGAGTTGTTATTCTGAAGCCTGTCCTAGCTCCTGCACGATCGGCTCTTAGATGCATTGTGAGGAAACTCACAAACACCCTGGCCGACGTTGTCCGCTCATTTCATGACCCGAAAGGACAGCCGATCAACTGCGAGTCTCTTCTAGCTCTATCCACTGGCTCGAGTCTAGACGCCGTTCGTGCAATGAACGACTTGTCAAGCAGAGTAGGATCAACATCAAGTTCCAGTTCACGGGGTAGCATCGTGAGCAGAGGGCGACAGAGATCCCGCCGTCATAGCCAGAAAACCGGAGCCAGGTCTAAGAGACGGTCAACAGAAGAGCGGTCTAAGCGTGAGAAGGCGAGAAGCAAGAAATCCACGAGCCGGAGCCGGAGACGGACGTCCTCCGATCGGCGGCATCATCAACATGGTTCCAGAAGTCGGCACTCACCGGAAATAAAAGGGACTCATAACCGAGTCTCCATAGTGACCATTGCTTCGGATTCTACAAAGTTAGGAGAGATCAAGCGGCGCCTATCGAAGCAGGTGCCTTTGGAGGAATATGAGAACAGGGTCGCATATCCATTGTATGCGTACCATGCCCAAGAGGCGCCGCCACGCAAGAAATGGTGGAACCCTTTCAGACGCTGATGACTGATGAAACCTATTCTTGAGTTGGATTTAATATATGTGATACCCGATGCTGTAGATAAATATTGATGTTTTTGGTGATGCACTATCATACTCCGTAGATGATGTTAGGCTTGAAATCTATCTCATGCAGACCAATGAACAACCCAGAATAGACTCGCCAAACCACTCTCGAGGGGATTGTAAAGCTTAAGTTAGTTATAAATACAAATTAGTAGTTATGAATCCCATCTCATATTGTTTGCCTATTCATATAGCACGATGGACTTGCCTCCTTCAGTCTATTTATCCCATAACGTACTCATACAGCTAAGTAGGTAGGACGTAAATAAATCATCTTACATTACAAAAGGGAACATTTAGTAAGAATTCAAAAAGAATATCGAATATATTGAAGCCGTTCTTCTCATTTTGCTTTACATACAAAAAACTATATGTACCTTACCTATACTGATATGTGAGTGGTCGAATAAAGTAGGAGTATACTATTTGCACTGTATGATACACTGTCGAGGCTGCAAAGCCACAGAAAGAGCTTGGAATTACTTGTGCCCCGCTGTCCAAAAATGCCCCGCCAGCATCACGGCTAACACACGACAGGTCATCGCATTCAATACTTCATTTTACTTGACGACAACGACGGAGGAGAGCAACGAAAAACGAACAAACTACAACCGATCTATTCTCTGAGCTCGTCCCATTTTCTCTCCATCTAACGGTATCGTTATTAACTTCACTCCTCACGGACATGCATTCGTCTTGATAGCATTGCCATCATGCCTCAAGATCCTGCTGCCGCTCTCAGCGCCTTGTTGCGCCAATCCTCTATCGAAGATCACGACGAAGCCCTCAAGATTGCCAACGCTGCTCTCAAGGCCAACAGGAACGATGTTGACAGTCAGCATACCCGCATTATCGCCCTGCTGAAGCTCGATCGATTCGACGATGCTTTGCGCGCCATTGCTGATGGCTCTCCCGCTCTCCACGCACGAATTGCACTCGAACATGCCTATGCGCTCTACAAGACGGGGAAGCTCAATGAGGCTACTTCGGTCCTTCAGGCTTTTGGTTTAGAGAAGAAGAGGAGTCTACAGCATGTTGCCGCACAAGTTGCTTACCGTGCCGAGCGCTTTGATGAGGCTTGCAACATCTACAGCCGTCTACTCGATACCGATCCCGCAGATGAGGAGAACGATATCAGCATCAACCTTCGGGCCGCTTTTGCCCAGTCTAGTTGGCTAGGATACTCGGTTACTGACAAGATTTCTGTCCAAGACTCTGATGGATTTGAACTGTGTTATAACGCTGCATGTGCGCATATTGCCGACGGCTCTCTTGAGACTGCGGCCGATCTATTGCAGCGCGCAAGTAGATTGTGTGATGCCTCTGATGACTTAACAGACGAGGATAAGCAGGCAGAAATGCGCCCTATTCTTGCACAGCAGGCCTATGTCTTTGCCAAGTTGGGCAAGCTCAAGGAGGCCCTCGATCTCTATAACTCTCTATCAAGCACAAAGTAGGTTGTTCTGCAATTGTGGTCAGCGCTGGACTGACTGTCGTGAATAGAGAAGAAGATCCCGATCTGGCACTAATAATTGGCAACAACCTGGTCGCTTTGGAGCCAAAGGACGAGAACCCCTATCTTCTTGAGCGAAATTTCTCGACCCTGACGGCCAAGGCGGGAAACGCCAAGCTCTTCCAGCACCAGTCTGACATCTTGCGACGCAACCGACTAACCGTCGACTTGCAAATCCTCAAGGGCGCCGGAGTCAAGCGCCGCACTGATGCCCTTCTTGCCGAAGCAAAACACCCCACGACAGCCGCCGAAACTAGCATCCTT